ATCGTCAGCAAATTGTATGCTAGGAGTCGGGTGAGCTACTGCAGCTACCGCTCGGGTGTATTCAACTTTCTCTGATGAGTTTGCAATGACGGAAACATCTGTCAAAAGGAATACCATTTCAATACTAAGGAACCAGTTTTTCCTTTTGTGGAAAGTAGAATGTTTGTCGGCCAAAGAGCGCAACAGTGGTGTCAACTCAGCATTGTCAACGTCTGAAAGCTGCTGCTTTCTGTCCAATTATGTATTACCAAGAGTACATAACCCCCAGAGTGTGCAACGCCTGATCCAGCTCTGCATAGGGTCTTGGACGAATGTAATCGGATCTTCTGGGGTCATGCGTGCACTCCACACGAGCGCAACGCCGGTTTAGAGGCAGGGCATCGTTGCTTTTGATCCGCGACTCCCCGGGGGATTCCCCTCAGATCTGTACGGCATTATGACGCAAAGATCCAATTACGCTCAACAAGGACCCTATGCAGAGCTGGATCAAGCTTTGCACTCTCTGGGGGTTATGTACTCTTGGTATTACTCCCCACTAATCATCTGAAACCTAGAATCGTTCGACAATACTTACGCTGTAACATGTTGACCTTCGCAAACGATTGTGATCTTTGATCCTGAGGAGCGTTAACTGCTCCCGAGAGCAGACTGATCGAGCAGATTTGTAATCCGTCGGATCCAAATGGCTACTGATGTTGAATCCGTTGCAGTATAATTCAGAAGCTGGTTCAAGAAAACGAAGCAAAAACGGTAATTTTTGATTTGCGCAAAAGTACGTTCATTGGACGCACTGCGGTTTTTGTCAAACAGAAAAATCAACTCAGATGGAGAGCCAATGTTTAATTTATACGAAAGAGAAAGACCAAGGAACTACAAGTTACGCTATACTGTCCACTAATACCACCAGTTACTAAACAATCAGCTGATGCGATAACATTGCACGTTGATAACATTGATTGTTTAGTAACTGGTGGTGTTAGTGGACAGTATAGCGTAACTTGTAGTTCCTTGGTCTTTCTCTTTTTAAATCAACTACAGAATAATTTTTGAAACTCGGATGTTGATCCAATAATAAATGTAGAAAGGAATGGGACATAATTATGGATACGAGTTAAGAGTAACTGTCCAACACTGCAACTAAATACTATCTACAGTCAGAACGTGCAACAACTAGGCACACAACTGACAATGTACTGAGACATTCGACGACCTGACACCTAGCTTTAAAACATATCTTCATTGCACTTTTTGACTGTATACAGTAGAGGGATTCTTAGTGACTTCTACAAAACAAAAAATTGAGCGAAGTTTCGCGACAGGCCTTGCGAAAATGTATATATGAATTTTCGCACGAACTTTGAGTTCTGCACATTTTCCTAGTTTGCACGCGCCAATTGCACGTACACCATGACCCAATCTCACGAAACTTCCCACGAAAGTTCATTTCGCTTTCCCTGCAAGTTTCGCGTCCAAAGTTGCGAACGTTCGTGCGAAGTTTCTCACTTCATGATGTGGAGTGAAATTTGGTGCCCATTTTCCTTTTGCAGAACTTCTCTGCTATCTAAATGTAGTTACAGTGGTGGACAGCTACTCTTAACTCGTATCCACATGTCCTTTCATTTCTACTTAAGTAATTTTTGCTACATGATATCAAACTCTATAAGAGCGAAACAAACCGACGTGACCTCGAGGAATTATTTCCCAATAAAATGTTTCGGAATGACGCAAAGGGCAGATCGCCTGTCCAGGGATTCACCACTTGGAAAGACGTGTACTTAGTATGCGGTATAATATACCGCATACTAAGTACACGCCAAATAGACGTTGCACTCCCTTTAATCAATACATATTATGAATTGATTAAAGGGAGTGCAACGTCTATTTGGCGGACAGGACAAAGGGACGGGAATTATGTACATGGTTTGGGAAGACTGGAGAACCAAGCGCAATGAACCAAGTGATTTTAAGCAGCAACAACATTGGCATTAAAGGCTGGCCCTGATATTGTGAGGCTGTAGACCGGAAATTCCGGCTAAATATATTCACAACTCAGATGGTGATCCAAGGAAAAAGTTTTAACATGGAAATTGTGGGCACAAGTTTAGTATCTGGTTTAGTTGGTGGACTCGATCGCATAACGTGTACCCACAATTTCCATGTTACAAAAATTCATTCACTTAATCTCACCTTCAATTTCGTGTAGTAACACCAGTACGCTTACAGCCAGCAACCCGAACACTTGTAGAAGTGGCAGTTGCATACTGTAGGTAGCACGTGACATGTTTGCCTGCAAGGGACAAATGCCAAAATACGAACGATATCATAACACTGAACGTTATATAATTTTACATCGCTAGTATCCAAAACTGCTTCACTTCTACGAACACTAATCTTTCAGCTTACACAAGCATACTCGACGAAAAGGAAGATAAGATCTATGGCATAAACACATGTATAGGATGTAATGCACTGGAAATGTGCACTAGTTTTAGAGTACTGGACGCGGGCTAACACAGGCTACAGAACTCTTACCTTCTATCGATCAGGAAATTCGTCTCCTTGAATGACTGGAAATGAAAATTCCGCTACACAAAGAAAGCGACTGAAGCATTCTTGACTAACATGCATGGTTTTATCCTGCAGCATGGCCATGCTATTAAGCCAAAAATGGATGCTTTTCTGAATGGTGTTCGACACGGATCTGCACTTCTTGTATTTGGCATGTTAGGGCAGAGGCAGGGGCCCCCTTTTTCGGCTCTCACAAACCTCAGAGGAATACTAGTATTCCCCTTCTCACCGTAAATAGGTAGGGCTTTGCCAAATACGGGCCAGGCTTTGCTTTGCCGCCATGCCTTGTCACCTGACCGTCTGAGGTCGAGGCGAAATCGACTTCAGCGAACTGCAGGTGGAAGTGCGCCGCAGCGCCGGCTTCTGAAGTGTAGGCAAATAGACACGTTGTACCTATCGGCAACCCATGCTGTGACAATATTCTAAATATGGTGTTCATAATGGACACCACCCCCCCCCCCCCCCCACACACACCCCTTTCAGGTCTTGCTCTGCCGTTGAAGGTCTTCTGTTGGTTCCACATCAACTACAGCGCAACGCAGGTGGTAGTGCGCCGCAAAAGGACGGCTGGTGAGAAAACGCAGCAGCATTATCGTAATAAAAAAAATAACCTGGCTTTCTGCAAGCTGCAACAGTAAGAAGTGCCAGTTGTGTAAAGGCCACTCGACCGTGAGGCCTTCCGGATGGTGCTGCACCTCCAGCAGGCATCTTTCCCTGCTACTACGCCTACACATACCTGTATACGGTACACCTACCGAGCTGCCTGAGCCCCAGAAGGCTTCCCTGATGTAACCCGGGTTTCGGCCCAAGCGCCTGTGTCGCTTCCGTGATACAAATGCGCATGCGACCTTGCAGGTCGCGCGCCAGGCTGCCGCGTACGCGACCAGCCTGGGGGGGGGGGGGGGGTGGGGGGGGGGGGGTGTGACGATGTTGCCTTGAGCGCTTGTCGTAGCTGGGATCCCGTAGGCGGCACACAGGGGTGCCAAATATGTCGCTGGCCCAGGGCCAGCAGGGCGCCCAGCTCAGGTCGCACGCGGCATGCGGCCCGAGCTGAGCGCGGTGACGGTTGGTGATAACAGTTCCCTCCTCCGAAAACTTCCATTTTTATTGTTTAAGGATTCCCCAAAGGCTTTCGCCTATCGAGGGGGTTTCCAAACTTTTCATAATACCAAATCTGTAAAAGAAGTAATGAGCAATAGGTGAGCAAAGAAAGAGAATAAACATAGTCTTATAAGTAGCATGATGATACAGTTTTACTGGCATTGCCGGTAGCATTATCCCGCAAAATAACTTCCATTATCCGCCCAGGCCTAACGCGAACAAGCAGAATACTAATATTAAACCTGAGTGAACAACCTTGAAGTTTGGCGATCATGTTGTGAAGCAAACTATATGTATTCAGATAAAGGCGTACCTGGATTCGGTCTTAAGTACGTATCACGTGACCTTATCAGCTCAAATCAAAATGAAGTCTAATGAAGTCTAATGAACAACAAAGCTTTTTAAATCGGCCCAGACACCTATCTCCAACAGATCTCCATAGTGCGAAAGAAAACACAACCAAATTGGAATGCTCACGAGAGGCCAAAGAGGGGAAGGTTGATGGAACAGGAATGAGCATTATAGCAACTATTCGAGTCTACTGATACTGCATACACATTACAGGATGAAGAGGAGACGAGATCATATGGTCTTTCGATAAAGGTGAACGTCCGCGGCTCGAAAGTTGTAAATCTGGACTTCGGACATGTGTTAGCGCCAGGTGTAATGTTATTGAAAGTGATCAGTGACACATGGTAACGCCAGGTCATGACTGCTTGCATGTGTTAGCTCGCGGCTAAACGCAGGCCCATCACACTCGTGTATTGCACATGTATCTGTGTCTTTTTTCCCTATTTGTTTCACTTTCTGACAGTATATTGTCCGGTTGCATCTTTGGAACTAATTATGCTCAAAGTTCGTTTTCATAATGTCCCATCTCCTTCCTATAAGGAGTCATAATAAGAATCTAAAGAGCAGTACATTTCTTTGGTGAGAATTCAACGGCTTCATTCTGTGCACTCATATCAGAGCTATCGGACACTCTGTAGGATGAATTGGAGGCACGTTTTCGTGTCGCAATCTGTAACGTGGCAAACCGGATGTTAAAAATACTCCGAGGCAGGAGTGCTTTATACGGGTGTACAGGTACTTCAGCAGCATGGACATCATTATGCGTTGAATATCCTGTTTAAAGTGATGCTGCCTCAAGAGCAATTTTCTAGCCCCATATTAGGCAGAACAGGATCACTGCCTAGGCCCACAACTTCATCTCCTAGGCCCCATGATCCTATCTACCGTATTTGGAATCGATTGCTGCAAGCCCATGTTTGGACCAACGCCAGGAACAACAAGACTTATAAAACAGTGATAGTGAAATAGTCGTCCCAGTTCTCCTTGCTCTTCGTTGGGTAAGGTTGGTGTACTGATCTGTCTACTGCCATCCCTTCGGGCAGCGATCTGAACCCCTTGCTGAGAAAGGTAAAACGCCTGAATTATTGCTATACTCTGGGGTCGGTGCATCTTGTATGGCATCCTCTTAACTGTGGCCTGGCATAATAGCTGTTAGATTTTTTCAGTGCGCTTATGAACATTGATGGATGTTTTGTTGCATCGCAAAATTGGTCTCACTGTTGTGCAGCATAATTGTTCGCTATTATAATATTCAATTGTGTTATGATACGTTACGGAAATGCAAACTTTCTTTTTCTTCTCTCCCAAACGTAGAAACCACATTTCGCGTACCTGTTTCAACATGCGAGTGCCACTTCTCCCCGTGCTGGTGTTAGTCTCCTTGGCCGCCATGGCTGTGCTACAGGAATGTGAAGGTGAGAATGCCACTTGGTTCGAGGCGCCAATATCTGATAACTTGCTGCTGCTAAAGGGTGGTAAAACCCAGTGCAAGTGCACTACTACAATGTATGTTGGCTGATAATGTGCATATGGGGTGTCTGTGTTGTGGCTTGACTACAAGCTTACCACCATTTTATTCGACTTGAAAAGTATGGTACGAAAGGTCTAGTTTAAACTATAATAATCATTATGGCATCTGTGCTTCGTTTGCTGATTTTATACATGACGTATATGTATCTGTAAATACAATGATACATTCAGAATTGTTGACGAAACAACGCCAGCTGCGTAAAATGACAGATACGATGTGCCCATTGTGATCTTTCTCCACAGCGAGGACATTTTTCTGTGACGGATTCAATGTTAGCATCAATACCAACAAACTTTCGTACGGAGGTGCCCGTAGCGCCTGTTCGGAACAGAACATAGGGCTTCTTAGAATCAAAGAACATAACTTGCTGAAAAAATCCCGGTGCTACAAGGTAAGAATTTAGCACGTTTAAAAGTTCTGAAAACATTCTGCACTCAATCACTATAATACCAACACCCTCATCAAACCAATAAGGCATTCACATTATTTCGTTTGTCAAGGCACTGTGGTTATTAGATATGTTTAATTCGGTCTGTAGGACTGCTATCAGACACTAAGTGCCATGATGAGAATTTCCTGTTCACTCCCAACACAATGCCCTATCGTTTGTTCTACAGTCCATTCATTGGAAACTGGCACCCTAACTTTTTGGTGTCTCCCGCACATAGTTGTAGATATCGTGAAAACAACAGTACATCCTGCATTGTGTGACCCTTGCAATTACATGTACTCCTTGCCACAGTTGAGGGCAGAAAGGTCCAGGAACAGAGAAATAGAAATTCAGCAAGGTTTTACAAAATAAGGACAGGTATGGCATGGCAAAATGTTTGGAAAAGCAGATACCAAACCCAGATTTCTTCAATTAAAAATTGGAGTTTTGATCCTCAATTCGGCCCAAATCGGACTTTCAAAAGTCTGCGGGACTGTTTCCGATGAATGGACTGTAGGCTTTGTGTTATAGGCCGCCTAAAGTTCCCTGAAGAGATCCAAAATTATCCTTTGGCGATTGATCGGTACTTGTTGAAAACATTTAATGTTCAATGCTCTGGAATGCTTCTGAACAGTTCTCAAGAGCACGAGTGTTATGGACTCATACTGATACTGTTTCTTGTGGGGTTGGCTTATAAATGTAGGAAGTACGTGCGGTTCCTGGCTTTTCCAGGTAGCGAAAGATTAACATTTTTTCAATAGACCTAGAAATAGAGCCGATACTCAATACTGCCTTTGCAGTATCAAAATCAATAAAGTCATTATCCCTAATAGCAATGGAACCACTGTGCATGCTAGACTTGGATGGAGAGACAATGATAACAATTAATTAAGACAGCGTTTACACGGAGACGAACCGAAACGAAATGAAACGGAACTGCCCTCGAATTGTTTTCAAACCATTTGCGCGAATCAACACGCTAGTTGCAGTTTTCTAGCTCATGAACGCTGTTTTGAGCTCTTGGTTTGAATATTGTCCACACCATACATGTTTATCATGTATATTGCCGCGCGGAATGGTTTCCATGACCGCGCTCCTTTTCCAATCGTTTTCAGTGTTTAAAATAGAGCGGAAGCGTTTTGAAAACATTTCAAACTACTTTGAAGTGCGTTTCCATTTTCGTTCGGTTTCGGGTGCGTTTTCGGCATTATCGTGTTAATGATAGTAGTAACCGCAACGATTTCTTTCCATTCCAGTCACTCTTCGTTGTAACCCAGCCGAAGACGCGGAAAGACCATGGCTTTCTAAGTTATTGTCATATTGAGTGCGTTTAATAGATTACACACATTTCGATCAATTTAAGAGTTAGTTATGGTGGATGCACCGTTCGGTTACACGTAAATCTCTCTACGGATTTCCGTAGGAAAGCTGTTTCCTACGTTGGGTCCTTTTTGAAATATATTTCCCGTTTTCCGGATTTGTCCATGCCATGCATGGCAACGTTCAAGCCGCGCGAAACACAAGGTACACACACCGTACACCACGTGCAAAATAAAAGGGTAAATGCGGTTTCTGTTCGTGGTGCATTCGGTGGGCGCATGCAGCCAAAGCGTCTCCAAAGCAACCACGCATGTTTAGCAGTCGTTGAGAAATCACGTAGAGTGAAAGTCAACAGGGAGGTTCTGCTTTACGTGAAACGTAGGGAAATCACGTAGAGAGCAGATGTCTGGGTTAGAGTCTACGGCTTCGCGTGTTTTGGGTCCAGGTTTCCGCGCGTAGATGAGGTTCTCTACGTAACGTCGTTGTGGCACACGCAAAGAAAATGCGTACGGATCTGCTGGGTATCATTAGGAGTGCAGGCGAAATTACCAGTACACATTCCACGTGACTTCTCTACGTCAACGTAGAGCAGAACAGGATTTCTTTAGGTTATGGGAGCGCGAAGAGAGTTCGCGTGATTCTTTGCATCGTTTTTCCAAAACGTAGAGCAGAACCTCCCTAGTAGCTCTGATTTTGACGTTTGAAAAGTCCGTGCTGTTCCTATGTAACGTTATCAGGGAGGTTATGCTGGCTCCATCCCTTATCTCCTAAGCTACCACCCCCCCCCCCCCCCCCTGGTGCGTCTGCCCAGTGTTGACTCTGGGACCCACCGTCGGACGAGCTGCCCAGGCCTCACCACCACTGCCGTTTCTGTGCTGCCTTCTCGATACATACGTATGTACACTGTATATCATGTGCACACTCACATGTCTGAAGTTTTGTGGTTTTTCAATAAAACATAAAAAAATGCTATACGTGAAACGTAGAGAAATCACGCAGAGAGCAGGTGTCTGGGTTAGAGTCTACGGCTTCGCGTGTTTTGGGTCCAGATTTCTACGCGGAGATGAGGTTCTCTACGTAACGTCGTTGTGGCACACGACGAGAAAATGCGTATGGATCTGCTGGGCATTGATCAACTGCAGGCAGAAAACTGCCAAAATATGGAAGGTGAAAGTCCCACTACACATTTTACGTGATTTCTCTACGTGAACGTAGAGCAGAACAGCTTTTCTTTACTTTACGGGAACGCGAAGAGACTACCCGGGCCTACGTGATTTCTCTGCGTTTCACGTATAGCAGAACCTCTCGATTTTTATCCGTAATTCCGTAGAGCGAAACCTCCAAAACGCCATGCTAGTTGCACGTGTGAGGTGTGCACAGGAATCATCACGTGATCCCATTTTACGATTTCTAAGTGTAGTCGTTCGTTCACATGGCCGCAATCCGTTAACTGCATTCGAGAATTATAAAACTTGGACCAAACTGTGTAATTGAAAGCGCCAAATGTGTGCAGTGAGAGGATGTAAAATTTAGCACAACGCTCACTGATGTCGTCATGATGTTCAAGGACCGCCCGTTTGGTTTGCGATGGTAATAAAATTCAAACAAACAAAAACTTCCACGTCATCTCTACAACTACTCGAATGCGCAAACCAACAGCGTTCCAACTTAGATGGTAATGTAACTTTACATTCTCGTTTTGACTGGATGATCAAAGCAATGCATATTTATTGCAAACAAGATCGATATATAAAACTTGCAAAATGAGAAAGCAAGCATGATTCACTTACCATGGTGTGACGGGGATAAGAACTTGATGTGCAATGTTGCTGACCAACTCTGAAAGCGCTCTTTAAATTTGATTAAAAGTAAATTATCGTGTCTCTTCCCAAGGGAACTCACGAAGGCCGCTAACACCTGGTAAACCCTAGCCGCAGATGCAGCGCATTACGGTGGGGGTGAGTGGATAAGTCTCACCACCACTCGCACAAGTGCTGAGAAACCTCATTAGCCGCATCCATGTTCCCCTTGTGCCTGGCAACAAGTTCCCAGTTGACTGTGGGTAGCAGCACGGCTGGAAAAACCGTTCCCAAGCAAGACTTGAACCAGGTATCTCTGGTATCTCAATCATGGTCTTTGACCAACCCACTGTGCCTGCCTGCTTTAAATTTGATTCCAGAAAGTAATAGACAGACTTGTCAGGCGGGGACTACAACATATATGGCTTTACAATAGACAGGGAAAAGGTTCTCTTGATATCAAGATGTCCAGGATCACTGAGCAGCCGGACGATACGCCCAGACCATTCATATGTGCAAGAGGTAAGCGATGTACATAAATTGGTTTCTCATAATGAGGACATATATAGCAGTATCTCACTCTGGGAATCACGAGATCCATATTTTCTTTGTTCCGTGGCGCATTCAAGATAAATTTTCGAACTGGCGAACGCCATTCGGGATGGTGCTTGTTTCCTCGACCGAAACCATTTCGTTAAGCCAGTGGCAGTATTTTCACAAGTCACAGTTTTGCCAATTCACTTGTCCAAACAAAATGCTTCTATTATAATTATACACTCAACTTTGCGTATAACGACACTCGGCGGGGCATACTGCACACTAGCATATTGATGGACATTTTTGTGATTCCGTTTTTGAATTCATATGCACTAAATGTATTACAACCTTGAAGAAAGAGTCCTTGGATTCTGTCTCCACTGCATGACCGTGCTCTCATTGCTCTGTATAATCACTTTTTTCTCCATGTGTAAGATTGGGATGAGTGCAGCACTGATCCATGTCCTCAAGGAGAAATCTGTGTCAATGGCAAAGGGACTTACAAGTGTGAAGGTAGGCTACGTGATCTGCTGTTTGTTCGAGGAACGGTCTTGCCTCGGCACTCATTGAAATGATTTTCACGAGTATATAAGATTTGAGTATGGCTACTGTAGAGATTGGATCGAGCAATATTATTACCGATCCGAGGGCGGATATTGTCTGGCTCTCGGGTCAGGAGCGTCAACATTAGCCAATCTCGAGACGTTGTTGTTGTTGTTGTTTATTTATTTTACATCGCAAGGCAAACGGGCAGTTCTGCCCAATAACGTTATTATGGAAGCGATGACAACCAGTAAGAGGAGTCGGAAATGAAGAGGAAAATAAATGAAAATAAAAATACGAAAATGGAAGTAGCAATGAGGGGAGGCAGGGTCAAGACGAGCAGAAAAAAATGGATCTCAAATTTACAAGTCGGGTCATCGTAGCATGATTCTATCGAGCCTGATCAGCAGGTTACGAAAGCCATTACATTTAACCGAAGTAAAATACGCGTAGCGTGCGCTTGAATTCACGGACACATACTATGGACTTCATACAGTCGGGCAGGCCATTCCAGAGTCAGCAGCTGGCTTGAAGCGGTCGGCATGCGCCAGAAGCACTGTGGGCCAGGGGGAGTGGAAGGTTGCGTCCCAATTGACCTCGAGTGGTCATGCCTGTCGGTGGGCCTTGCAATACAATTCGGGACGACGTCGGCGAGGGCTCCAAGAAGAGTTGTCTAAAGCAGTGATTTTCAGAGAATATTGTGCATTGTATCGTATTCTTCTTCAGACATCAATCCTGAATGGCATAAGCGAAAGTGGCACCCCCGCCACCTACGCGGACATGCTTTTAATAATATAATAATAAATTGTGCATGCAGGTACTAAGGACACGGAAAGTAAGTAATGCCATTGTTACAATGTGGCGAATGGGGAATTGTTTTGACAAAAGGAGCGAACTTTGAGCGAATTCGGTAATCTGGCCATGTCCGAAAATATTTGGTGGTTAAAGATGTTGACTATTAACCCTTTGAGGACCGAGCACGAGTTAACTCGTCCAAATTATGTACGCTGTATTTACGAGGACGAGTAAACTCGTTCTTACTGTGCATACATTTGTACAGTGCATATAAACCAGTGCTCAAATTATCGCAACTCTGCTGTCCTTTCTCCAATCTCCGCAAATGATAGGCCGTTGGAACATTGCCTCCTTTTAACCCCTGGTGGACTTCATTTACCCAGCAGGACAGTTTGGTCCCAAAACGCTGCGTTCCTTCGATATGCTCCAAAATTAAATAATCGAAAAAATATTCGCCAAGTATTCAAACCACTTACAAGAAGGATGGGCCACCGTTGCACACCACAATAAAGCGCAGCCGAACAAACTATCTTCGCAAGCCGATTCCAGTTACCTAGTAAATTAGTAATATTTAGCTATCCAACTTTCGACTGACGACTTGCTGAGTCCCTCGAACTAATCGATCTATTTAAACTGTCCAAAGGCGGCCATTGCGAAGGCCATCTTCAAGGGCGAGACTACGTTTTGAAATGTGGGGTAGACCACCACCATAGTCTGCTACAACATGTCCCCAAGCGCCGACAAGACTTTAGTGGTCTTGAATAAATTTATTCACTAAAATTAATATCACTTGAGAAAAATTTCAAATTTCTCTTCCACGGTCATGCACTAACTGAATTCAACCGCCTACAAATGCCATTTCGCTCCCACCACTTAGAAACCATGGGAATAACCCCAGCGCTCCCAGAAACTCGAATGAAAGCCGCCGCGAAGAGTCACTTGCTGATCAACAGCTCAACAAGACGAGAAAGAAGAACTGCTCCACCACAACAAATCAGCGAAACAGTGGCGCAAGATGGCCCGCACAGTTCTCCTGTCCTGGGAAGCTAGTGCAAGGTTTTGCAAAGCCCCTGAACGCTTGAGTTTTGTGTGGTCGCCGCTTGGTGCCATGATAAACTAGCCGTTGGCTCGTGGGATGTAAGAAAAACCATTGAGCTCGATACGTGGACCGAGAGCGGATTTCTCTTACATGCGTAGCTGCAGCGCATTAAACTACTCAAAGATATGTGTGGTGATCATGTTAACACTACTCCGCTGGCGAAATGATGCCGCCATGACGCTTTCATCTTCGGTCCATCGTGTTTTCGCTCTTTGCTTTGCATCCCAAAAAATTCCTCTATTTTAATGTCGAAGTGTATCCCGGTTCTCCCTATACCGTAGTTCGATGAATTATGTTTATGCTTTGTTTACGACACAAAGAAACCGCATCTGAACTATTAGGCCAATATCAGCGAAATTGCCCTGATCTTTAGTGTTTTCTGACTTCTGAAGTGTCTTTCGGCCTGTAATTAATAACGTGAATGACGGTGTTTGGAACTTTTTAAATTGAATATTGCATTAAAATGCAAATTCATTTTCGAACCATTTGGCACCTGGATTACCTATGATTATGGTGCATTGCATGTATTCTTTTCGACTCTCTTGTACACACCACAACAACAACAACAACAGCAATAGAACTGCAGGGTCGCGCAAGAACAAAAAGAACACTGTCTTCAGACCAGCATGCACCTTCATGTGCATGCTGCAACTCCGCACTGTGCAGCCAGTGCGTACCGCATACCCAGCACAGTCCGTGAACTCTGGACTGTGCACTCGCGTTTCGAAAAGAACAGCATTTCTTGTTTACTTCGTTGCTCTCATTCAACAAGAAATGAGGCATTTCTCAACAAGTCTAGATTTTGTTTGTGCCGGCCTCAGATCCGTTAGAAAGATAACCATTTTCACGTCTATAAATCGTGTCTTGTTTTCTATGTTGCATGCGAGATAGATCGAAATGAGTGTGAGGACTCGCCAGATGTTTGCGATCCAGGTTTCAATTGTACAAACACCATTGGAAGTTACATGTGTCGTGGTAAGTGTCGCAAGCGGCGTTCATTGAAATGTTTATCAGGCCTTCACCTGGAATATTCTTTACGAAGAACCTTTATATTGTTTTTATTATTCTATCAGCTTTAAAAAGAATTTTGTATTGCTCCTTTCGTGGGAGCTTGCGCTATTCCTGCCGACTTGAATTCTCACTTGCAAGCTCCCACGTAGGGAGCAACACACAATGCCTCATTTATCGCGAAGTCACACCAACGTCTTCTTCACCTTTGGCAAATACCCACTCTCATGATTGACCACACCTTCAATTGTACCATCAAGAGTCCATACCCCCCCCCCCCCCGGGGGGTTATGTACTCTTGGTACCACATTAATAACACCCCTGCCATTTCCCATGTAGCGCTGCACTTTTCCCTAAAATAAGTACTAGTCTGATTTTCATATCTATCGCCTGAAGAGACATCACAAAAGTAACTAACCAGTATGCATTGACGTAATGTCTACGGAACTTCGGCCTAAGGTAATCACCATGGAAATCACCATAACTACAAGATACTGACACAGACAGGAGGCTTATCAGGTAAAGATATACCACAAAATTAGGTCAGGCGGCTGGTGATAATATGCCTCTTGGCAACCCCCGATTACAACTTGACCATTCCCTTTTGCGGATCATTCCTTTCATAGGATTTAGCCACAAAACGCAATTAGAATAACAAGAATGATTTAAATGTTGAGAGCAGCATGCGTACCCCATTTAACTTCCTTAGTTTTTCCCCGCTATGACAAGAAGTGAAGCAGTTGAAGTAAAAGATTATTCCATACGACTAATGATCACATGTAGTTGTAACTGTGGGATTTAGTTTTATCTTTAGTTCACTAGTTCTTCCCTGTGAATTGCTTTTGGCAATTGCTTTTGGGCAATTTTGGCACTAGGGAACCTGGGAAATGTTTCTCTCACCAATCCATTTGGATGAATCCGATCACTCTCAATAGGAACGTTATCATCCAAATTGGGTATTTTTATGCGCCCGTTATCCCATTGTTCCCAAATGGGAACATCCCTCTAACCCAGCTATGTTAACCTCTGGGGTTAAACAACAACAAAAAACACTTGCGTGACAAATCTCGAAATGAAAGAATAAATCCTTGAAGGGTCGGGATGATAAAGGCTAAGCATATTGTGAACGCACCAGCCTATATCAACCAGGATGAAAGCTAAGTAGGAAAATTAGAGAACAAAGTGAATGCGAAGATATTTGGAAAGCGTCCGTCCGTTAGTTTTAAAAGGAAACTTTGCTGACAATAAAGTAATTTGAAAATTGTGTGGCTTTGCTTTTGGACTGTTGCCAACATTTATTTGTTGCTGTATGTGCATTGTGGCTCCACAACAGCACCGGTATATTCCAAGATATGTGCCGAGGTGAATTTCACCATCAGGCTTGAGCAAACTGGATATGGAGATGCGGTCAACCAGTTTAGGTGTGTACTCGTGAGACGCAAAGAACATGACTCTTTGAAGAAGAATCACCGGTGCTATAGGGTAAGATGTGAAATTTGTTATATATGTAGCAGCAGTTACAGAGAGCGGAGTCCTCCGGTTCGATAGAGTGCTCAATGCGGAAGCAGAGCAGTAACACATGAGTCGCAGAGTACCATGCGTCTGGATTGTTTTAACTAATAGTTTCATGCCAGATGGCAATCTTCAGACAATTGATCAGTTGTCTGAAGATTGCCATCTGGCATGAAACTATTAGTTAAAACAATCCAGACGCGTGGTACTTATGGTGGATATGAAATTTCGGGGAACTTTACTTAAGGCGCGATCACACTGCGACCATGAGGACGCGTCCATGTGTCAGCAAAACCCAGAAACGTGGCAGTCGTGCTCGCACTAGGTCTCGTACACACGTAGACGTGAAGTTGTCGCACAAACTTTACGAATTGCAGTTCGTATCCAAAAGAGTTCGTGCGTTTCCAAATAAAGTTGTGGCCCGTTTGGATGTAATTTTCGCATGTTGCATGTCGGTGGAAGTGCCTCGTGGCTCGTATTCTTGAAGTCGACGAAAATAATTCATACAATCATGTAGGTATGGACTCTTGAGGGGCTGATATCCAAGCGCTATGGCTTTCCTGGCCTCGTCGTCAGAGCAAGTGCCAGTGCAGTGGAAATTCCCGTTGTTGTAAGGCCTCTTTTGCGGGCAAAGCAAAGCACAATCATCACCATGTATCAGTACAATGAGTAGTTAAACCCAACACGAATAAAAAATTAAAAAATAATAAATACTTGGGCCGGCTCATCGCAATTGTCGCTTATCTCCTCCGCATTTTTTGACAGGTAAAACCCAGTCCAATCACGATATCTAACTTACTTTTGCTTGGGAGGTTGTGATGGCAAGATCAAATGAGGCACCAAAGAAAAAATGATCGCGACTAGCGCTTTGATTCGCGATGTGTTCGACTTTTTTGGGAAGTGGAAATCTGGCCATTCACTGTCTGTGTTGCCAAAAAAGCCAAGCGCAGCGACCCGAAGACCGGAACTGTAGCAGGGGCAACTGACATCCTGAAGAGCGTGACAGGCATGCGTGCACGGCAGAGGAGTATGAGCGTTATGCTGAAGAAGAAAGGTGTTTTCGATGCGATGCACGCATGCGAGGGAAGTTTTGGTTGTTCCTTTTGTTCCTTCGTGGACCTGGCAGCAGCATTACAAGAGTCGTCGTCAGCGTATCCAGCGGAGCGTATGACAGCTGTCTGGAGACGCCTGTATGCCTCATTCGAAGGCTTTGTTGAAACACACTGTGGTGACACATAGGTCACACTGCCCACGGTTCCTCCAACTGTTCAAGCACCGAAGTGACAGACACAACTGTTCCTTTTCCATTGCTGCCATACGACACTCGACAGGCTGACAAAGCAAGAGATACTGTATCAGTTTACGCCAGCAGCAAGACACCAGCACTTTAATGTCAGCCCATGTAACGGCGGCAGCTCGAGTGATGGAGAGTTAAATATAGCGTCTGGACCTGTAGGAGTGTGAGTGCAAGAGCGCTCCTTCGCTGATTTATTTCATGCATTTTGCTTACCTTGCTTCCCTTCTATGACTCGCTTCACCTGATTCCAGGGCTGAATTTTGTTTCTTGTGGCGGAGAGTATTCATGTATCATGCTTCCTCACTATGCCCATTGAAAATTTCACAGAGCGGCAACAAAACTCCAGTTCTTAGTGGCGATAGATAAGCGACAATTGCGATGAGCCGGACCAAGTATGATGAAGAAAGGAAAAGGACAACATGTTACGAGTTCAAATAATAAATAATAAACAGTTCGCGTACAAGGCAGCAAATGCTAACCTTTCCGCTTCTGTCTCTTTTGAGCTCTGCTACATGTGATGGTTGTGAAAAAAGGAAAAAAACCTCGAGAGAAATGAATGTGCACAACCCGATAGAGACTATTGGTGCTTGCACTCCGTTTCCCACACGCGCACGGATACCACCCCGCACGCACACTAGCACACGCATGCGGGTACTTACATACACCGATCTCCATAAACACCTCTATTCGGTTGTGCACTTTCATTGAACGAGTACACTGTAGAAATTGGTCACTGACCCGAACAACTGATAACGAAGCAACTAAAAACAAAATTGACATTGTCCAAAAAGGGCAAAGAATGCATATAATTATGGCGGTGCGTGCATGAGGACCGCAACTACAAATCAAAATGTGCAAATGTCGAGGATGACATCGACAACCGCCGAATTTCATGAATCAACACACTGGAATTTGAGAAATTGAGCATACTTCAGGCCAAGGTTGAACACAAATACGCTTCACGTCTACGATCATGTTGCCGCCAAGACGTGGCACACCTCTCTGGAGGTCGCCGTCACGATTTGAAACGTGGCCGCGGCGTTTTGGTCAAGGACCGCCTATCGTGGGGTTGACAGCTCTTGTACGTGCTGACGTCCATGCATGTGTAGACATTTTCCTTTCAATTGATATTTTGCCTATACATGTATCCTATTTTCAATAACACCAATGTAATGTCTATATTGCTCAGTTGAACCAATAGTATGATGAAAAAAATACCGCCACACCTAGGTTTTGATGTTCAGAGCCTTGAAGGTTTTTTGCATTGTAGTATGCTAATAAAAGGCGGATAGGCTGAGAGGGAAGTTATTAATAGTTGTGGTGCCGTTGTCGTACCTGTGGAAAGTATTGCGAAAACATAAGCGTGAAAGTTGTTCCTTAACGAAGTTGAATACTCCACCTGGTTCACTGCCGGATGCCAATGCTGAGACATTTGTTCTGATCCTGTCTAGCAGGAATCTAACTGTAAAACGTACATTGGTACCCTCAATGTTACTTCTGCCGTTCTCAACTTTAATTCTGCAATCTTTGCGTCTATCCAGGAACTATTAGGAGACCTCCAGGGAAAGATTGCCGCAATCTGGTTGTCCGGGAAAACCCTCATCAATCTCAAAAGTGGTAATGCAAGTGAAGGGCAAAACCAAAAGGCCCAGGGTGCCGGTATCTGCCGTTCAAGTGAGTGTTAACTTCTTTTTTACTGAAGCGTATGCTGTAAAGATGCAAGAGATATCCCTTCTACGTGATAGTTCTTGTCTCGGTGTGGGTGCAAGATTGAAGAAGGTTATAAGGGGCAACGTGAAACAAATGCTCCCGCCCTAGAAAATGACATGCGGCGTCATGATGTGTCCCATTACCTCATTTAACGCCTATCACATTATTTTGGTAGGGTGCAAAGGAACGCGACGTATGGATCAACTATATTAAAGGGCCCTGCTTGCAAACTTGTTACAGTAGAGAATAGTTGCTTCAAACCTCGTTCCCTTGTGTTTTCTTCTATTTTATTTTAAGTTAAAACTGTGAAATTATATCTAATAATAGCTATGAAAAGTATGAATGCCGCAGACATCACCACGCAACATGACAATTTGTTCAAGGTTTGGTTTTGTGTGTTTCCAAAATCGATTTTCACGCTCCGATCATCAGTGGAAATACGGAACTAAAGAGATCAAGGGAAAAATAAAGGTTAAAAATCCAAAGAAGTGTGACTCATGACGGGTAACTTGTGGTAAATATTCCAAAATGTGAGAGCTGAAATAAAGAGTAAGTGTGACAAACGGGCATGAACAGTGCAGAAACAACTCATGAACACGGGTTGCAAACTCACGAAAATAGCCTAAGTGCTAAAACATGTTCTTTTTGCTTACACAAATCGGGCTTATGCGACGAATACAAACAGCTTCAAGGACCTTCAACTGCTGGACATAACGGGCACGACACAGTACAGAGAAGTGGGAATCATCATACACACTCAAACAATCGGGACGAGATAACAAATGCAAGTACACAGCTGACTTCTTACGAATTTCACCCTCATCAGCTCCATCACATTCCCTGCCACCTGACTCCTCCTCGTCCGTTTTATCACCATCACCACCAGCCGTCTCATCGTCATCCGCCTCGTCATCACCCACCTCGTCGTCATCTGTATCCTCGCCGTCATCCGCCTCGTCGTCATCTGTATTCTCGTCATCCGCCGCATCATCACCCAACTCATATTCACCACCAGTCAGTCGTCTGATACCATCCATGTTCTCCTTCCTACGTCTGTCCCGTGCCACTGTCCTTACCTCATCATTTGGATTTTTAACCTTTGTTTTTCCCTTGATCTCTTTAGTTCCGTATTTCCACTGAGGATCGGAGCGTGAAAATCGATTTTGGAAACACACAAAACCAAACCTTGAACAAATTGTCATGTTGCGTGGTGATGTCTGCGGCATTCATACTTTTCATAGCTATTATTAAACTTTTATCTCCACGTAGATTATTTGTAAATTATAATTACCGTACATTTATTTTAAATGGAAACATTGAAAATGGTCGGACACACGTAACTTATTTATGCGTTAGAGTCCGCCAACTAAACCAGATTTTGCGCAGTCAGACGTGCACAATGAACCTTCCCTACCGTTTCCAGGTTTCCATTTAATATTTTGCTTGGCTCACCATCTCAGCGAGGTTAATTATTTTTCAAATTATTTTAATAATTTTGATAACCGCAATCAATAAGACAAGCTGAATCGACATTAATTTTGTGTACACTTTATTCATGCAATGTAAAACGGTGGAGACAGTTTGCAATAAAAGGATGAAAAAATGAAGAAATAGTGTAGAGAACAATTAAGGATTCAAACATGATTTCGTACAACACTCATCAGGAATCGGCGTTGTACTAACGGACACTGAAACAAAAACAAAATTAATAGTGATATGCTTTGCTTATTCAATAGGGCTAGCCGGTCTTGCATTTCTGGAAACTCATTTCACGTGCATTGTATGTTGTGAAGAGCTTTGAAATTGTTCACTTTCTGCCATTGGGCCCCCAATATGGAGAATCTTCCCTTTCACAACAGTTAAGGTGAATAAATTCTTGTTTTGCATGTGGATGATTTCTACCTTCTGCAATTTTCTGTTTAAATTCTGAGTATCTAACCAAATGTATGAGCACTAGGGCTAGCCGCTTCATTGGTTTGCGCAGGCTACACTAGCCAATGTTGACTATCAGGAATTGTGAGTTTCACATTCATAACATTTATATGATGGCAGTGGTCCGTTCCCAAGACTATGTCAAGTACAACAGTCAGGGGGGGGGGGGGAGCGAGGGGTTTTGTTTTGTATTTGCTGAATTCTCTGCTAGCTTTACTGATTAAATACTTTAAAGTGTTTCCGTGCTATTTTTGTAGAACAGCAGGTTTGCCACCCAAATCCATGTGGGATTAACGCAAAATGCAGACAAGGACGGGCAATCGGTGCTCTTCATCGCTGTGAGAGTAAGTTTCGCTTTGCTGCTTGTTTTGGCTTTGAGAGTATTAACGTCTAGGAATGTTGCATTGCTGTTAGTAAAGTGTTTCAGAACAAATTTGAAGAATAGAACTGTTCGGTATTAGGCACTACTACAAAGTCATGATTTCGGAAAACTTATTTCTCATTAAAGACTTGGTGGACAAGCCGTTGATTATTCACTCTCATTGTAATATCAAAAAGTATTCTTTCTAGACCAAAGAGTGGTATATTTGATAACATTTAATAACGATAGAAATTTTTACGATGCTTCTCCAGACGTTTCGTTGTTCTGAACAACATCGTCAGAGGATAAAGATTCTTCTTTATCCACTGATGATGTTGTTCAGAACAACGAAACGTCTGGAGAAGTATCGTTAAAATTTCTATTGTTATTAAATGTTATCAAATATACCACTCTTTGGTCTAGAAAGAATACTTTTTGATGATATTTTTCATTGCTACCAGGTTCGGCCTCATTTCCTCTGTGCTTCGCTGATGAGTCCACTAAGGACAAAAAAGTCTAATCCGCAGATTGACTCACAAATTCCACATAATTTCACTGGGGTGAATAATGCAGTATGGATTGTTTTCGGTCTCAAAAGAATACTTTCTATCGTTATTAAAGATACATTTAATAACGATAGAAATTTTTACGATACTTCTCCAGACGTTTTGTTCTTCTGAACAACATCGTCAGGGGATAAAGAAGAATCTTTATCCACTGACGATATTGTTCAGAACAACGAAACGTCTGGAGAAGTATCGTAAAAATTTCTATCGTTATTAAATGTTATCAAATATACCACTCTTTGGTCTAGAAAGTATACTTTTTGATGATATTTTTCAGTGCTATCAGGTTCGGCCTCATTTCCTCTGTGCTGCGCTGATGAGTCCACTAAGGACAAAAAAAGTCCAATCCGCAGATTGACTCACAAATTCCACATCATTTCACTGGGGTGAATAATGCAGTATGGATTGTTTTCGGTCTCAAAAGAATACTTTCAAGCCTTCTCGTTAGGTAATTACAGGCAAATGGACATGAACAAAAACAGTGGATTCAAACAGTAAACATGTTTCTGAAGCTGTGTGTATTCACACAAAAAATTCAACCTATGAAAAGAGAAGTAAATTTGATAAACAGTTAGACTATTAGTTAGGTCGTCAAAAACTCGTTCGTTATGCCCATTGGTGGTCTCTTGTTGTCACACCACATTTCACGATTGTTGGGTTTTCTCGCACTTGCACCTTTCTGGCTTTATTGCTTCATGTATATGTGTGGGTCACGCATCTTCACTGGTTTTTTAAAGCTATCTTCTGCTTGGCACTGTTTATCACCTCCTTACTGTACTGAATCCACTGTTCTTGTTGTACCTTTCCCTTTTCCTGTATTTCACCTGACGAGAAGGCTTGAAAGTATACTTGTGAAACAGAAAACTTTCATAATGTTCGAGAAGACCCTTAAGAGAGCATGTGCGAGAATACCAAAGTATATTATGTGGAAGTGAATCTCTCCGATTTCGCTCAAAATGTGCAGGAGGTTCCCTTTGGGTTGTGGATCGACTGTGCAAAGCCCGCTGAAAAGTTTCTTTTAAAACTCCTATTCAGACATTCCTACTAATATCGGCACCCAATTCATTTTGGACTTCAATTTACAATATCTGACTTCATCTGTAGCTCGTTAACACAAACTGGTATCCCTCTCTGCATTCACCAAGCTAGGGTCAGGGCCATAATTATCTTCTTGGTGTGAAAATACCCTTCTTGGGTGTGTTGTGGGTTGCTCGTATGTGACAATATGCGTGTTTTGACAGCTAGCTGAAGTCATGAGCTCTTTTTTGCATGTTGCCTTTTTGCAGGATCACACTGCGGCGCGATTGAGATATCCAACGGTTCACTAGCAAGGACGAAAGTAGATATATCCGCCGAACCCATCCCATCCGTCGAACCCATCTGCGAAGATGGATTCAGTGCATTAGGAGAAAAGGCTACTTGCGGTATAAATGGCTGGTCGTACAATGAATTCATATGTACATCAAGTAAGTCCTAGGACTAGGAGAAGCACACGAGCAGTCCATCATACCCTCCGTTTGGTAAACCGTGCTTCAAGCAAGCACCACTCTCTGCCCGGTATACAGTGTTTAAGGCACCACTCCCCCCCCCCCCCCCCCCCACCACCACCCGGGCTTAAGAGGATTGTGCACGAAGTATTTCACTTATAGTGCTCTTCAAACTAAAACCTCACCATGGATACAAACCTTTAAAGATGTCCTTTTCAAGCACGAATAAAAGCCTTGTGAACATCAGAAAGAAGGAAGAGTCAGGGTTGCTCAGGGTTAGGCAATCCAGGCCTCGACGACTACTATTTTGCTAGTATCCGATACCCCTAAAAAATTTCTTGTAGATTGTGCTGGTTGTATATATGGAAGGCAACAACCTTTAATCCATTTTCTGCAATCATCGCTCCATGGCTAAGAACAGTTCTGTATATTTTTTGTTCAAGTATGGGTAAGTATCACTTACAAATATCTGGGTTTAGATAGCTATCAAATTTAATGTAATTATCTTCTGGTGGCATGCTACGATCATTTTTGCAGGAACACAGTGCGAAGCAAAACGAATTGGCAGCGGGTCATTAGCAGAGACGCCTGTTAATCATGATGCCGAAGTAACGTGTAACAACGGCTCCTACAAGGCATATGACGCTAAGGCCACTTGCACCAAGCCTGGCTGGTCCTACTCCGAGCCCTTATGTCCACCAGGTTAGTAACAATTGTGAAACTGGGTGTCGTCATGCCAGTTGCACTACTAGTCTAGGTTGGTTGTGTTAAGTGCAGATATCCTGGTAATTCGAAGCCACTGTCTACAAACACTTTTCAGCCATCGTTTCGTGTTGACTGTTTTCCTACGTTAGGTTAGTAGTAATTTTGCAACTGGGCTTCGTCATGCCAGTTGCACTTCTAGTCTAGGATGGTTGTGTTAAGCGCAGATGTGCTTCTCATACGATGCCACCGTCTTTCACCACTTTTCAGCCATTGTTTCGTGTTGACTAATTTCCCACGTTCCCAGTGTATGGCGGTCAGCTTTGAACACTGGAATATTTGCTGAGTACTCGGCCCATATTTCTTTAGATTTTCCGTTTTGTTGCCCTCCGCGTATGCCACTGGTGAAAACTTCTACCGGTGCTGTATTTTAAATTGCTGAACACTGGAGAAACATTATGCTCACAATGGAGTATTTCGTAAAATAATCTTCTTTATACCCAGCTCATATTAACCCCACTAATTCCTGTGATCTATAACTGGTGAATATATCTCCATATTCGCCACTTTAACTTGGGGTATAGTCAACTTCGCTAATAACGACTCCGGATATAACGACAATTCGCGAATAACGACAGAATTTCCATGCCCAGAGCAAAGTTCCATCCAACTGTATTAAATACATAATAATGAGACTTCGGGTATAACAACACTTCGCAAATAAGGACACTTTTTTGATGCCCCGCCGAATGTCGTTATAAACGAAGTTGACTGTATATACTTTGCTAATAATTATTACACACTTAGAGGTTGTAACTTTTCAACTTTCAAGGGACTTAGAAATTTTCTCTCCAATTGAAAAAGAAAAAAATTGAAGAGAAGAAAGAAGTTTCAGCAGGAATCGGACCTGCAACCATAAGACTCCCAAGCACCTATCTTGACCACCCAGCCACCAGGGTGTTGACGCAGATGTTGGTTGAAAGATACGTATTAGGTCTGGAACACGCAGTGCTACCTACACATAATAGTATACTATAGTATACTGGGATACTAAAATAGCTATTTCGGACCAGTATTTCAGGCCAAAAACGAAGCTAGGTATAAATAGAATAAACACCTCTGTATTGTGTTTATGGGAATATAAACACTGTCTATAAAAACCTCGGCTACGCCTCGGTTTTTACAGCAGTGTTTATATTCCCTTAAACACTACGACATCGGTGTTTATTCTATACGTAAATGGGGTAAAATGTTTAAACCACACATAATGTCGGTAGTGCATGAATACATTCCGTCGTAATCTCCAGCCAAAATGCCTTTGGGTTGTCCTAATTTCATTTCATTTTTGTGCTCTTTGTTCTTCTTGCTTGGCCCCGTGAAGATAACCCTATTGTATGTAACTGGTACAATGTAAGCATCCATTCGGACCCAGCGCTATACGCAGATGCAATTAGTGAGTGTGAACGCCGCGATGCAACGCTATTAACGCAACAATCCTATGATGCATTGAAACAGTCCCAGTGCTCCAAGGTAGGACATGTTGGTCTAGAAATAAAAAGCCAGATAATTGATCTTTGGCATAGACAATTGTCTGTGTGTGCGTGTTTATGAGTGTGTATACGTGTGTGGATGTGTGTGTGTGCGTATATGTGTGCGTGCGTGTGTGTGTGTGCGTGTGTGTGTGTGTGTGCGTGTGTGTGTGTGTGTGTGTGTGTGTGTGTGTGTCGGAAAATGTCTGTCTCTGACTATTGTGTGTGGACAATCGTGAGTGATTGAGTGTTTGCATATGGGAGTGTTTGATAGTAAGTTTGTGCACAAAAATGGTATGTGTGTACGGCAATGCGAGACTGTGCGTATGAGTGAAATCGATAATTTTGGAGCGCCGAGTAGCATTTATTTATCTATGAAAGTGCACATGCCTGCATAGAACAAGAAACAGCAACAAGAAAGAACATATTGGATTACAAAAGCCATGAACATGTGTACGCCCATTTGTGTGAGTGCGAGAAATCCTCTGTAAATTGCCAGAAAAGTGACGCTTGGGTGGATGATCCCCAACCATGATCTGTTCTAACCTTGCGAATGCTAAAACAGATATAGCTCGGCCTTAGAAGTAGAACAATTCATGATGAAGTTAGGTTGTGTGTAGGGCCGCTCTCAACAGCACTCTGATCTGGACATCGTAAAAGGTTTCTTCTGTAAAAGTGAAAACCTAGCTTGAAGTGTATTTGTGAATGTATGTGTGCGTGTGCGCGTGTGTTCGTGTATGTGTGTATATGCACACGGGTGTGTTGTATGAATTGCACTCATACAGTATATCATGTCTGGGCTAAAAATTCACAATTTGGCAACCACCTGGTTAAAGACATCACCTTCGACCGGTGTTGTTTTCACACTGGAATCTGAAAGCGTTAGCACAGGCCAATCTGCTAGCACCTTTTTTTGTGCTAAAGGTAAGCTAAATTGCAACTAGGGTTATAGTACAGAGCTTCGTACATCTTTATAATGTGCATAAGGTCTATTGAGCTTATTATTATCATTTAGGTTTCTCACAATTGCTCGGACGTAAAAGAGAACTAGGAATGCATGGCCTTGGCCCTGGGGCAGATTTTGTGTTTTGTAGAGATAGAAAAAAACGGTCATTACACAATAACAGGCTATTCCATGTGCAACATGCCAGAAAGTGTGTCCTCTGAAAAATGCCCTTTTGGGGGAAACGTGATTACTAAGGAGCCACTAAGATTTGAGTATGGATTCGGCAGAGATTGGAGCAGGCAATACTATTGCCGATCCAGAAGGCGAATAGTGTCTGGCAACACTAGCGAATCTCGAGACGTCGACGAGGGCTCCAGGAAGAGTTGCCTAAAAGCAATGATTTTCAGAGTATATTGTGCATGCAGGTCCGGTACAAAGGAGACGGAAGGTAGGTAATTGCCATTGTTACAATGTGGCGAATGGAGAATTTTTTTGATAAAAGGAGCAGACTTTGAGCGAAATCGGTAATCTGGCCATGTCCGGTTATATTTCGTGACGACGACACCATAGATCAGTGGTTAGAGCATCGCTGGCTACGACCGAGGGTGCCTGGTTCGAGTCCTGGTGGTGACAGTCAATTTTTTCTTCAGACTTTACCCGTTTGTTTCTTTCCCTCAAACCAGTGAGTAAAAATACTTGTAAATAATACAACAAGTAATAATAAAGTGTCTTTCAGCCCGTAGTGAACGTGAATGACCGTGTTTAGAACTTTAATGCAAAATTTATTTTCGAATCATTTGACACCATGGTTACCCATGATTATGGTGCACTGGATGCAATCTCAATGTACCAGTATTCGCAAAAAGTCTAGAATCTCTAGATTTGGTTTGTGCCGTCTTCATAATCGTTAGATAGGTAACCATTTTGACGACTAGAAATCGTGTGTTGTTTTCTATGTTGCATGCGAGATAGATCGAAATGAATGTGAGGACTCACCAGAGGTTTGTGATCCAAGTTTCACGTGTGAAAACACCGTTGGAAGTTACATATGTCGCCGTAAGTGTCGCACGTCTGTGGTTATTCAGATCAACGTTCAGTTTTGTAATGTATCACTCTCTATCACTTCTTTGGTTTCCTGGAGTTCCTGGTTGTTCCACTGGGGGAGGGAAAGGGACTCATGTGCCATTTTGGCATCAGGGATTTTATACGTTGTTTTACCTGCCTTTGTAGTGGAAAACCTTGTTAGCGCCATCTAGGCTGGGCCCGACCCCATGACGCAGGTACCACCATAAATTAGAGCATTGGCCATTGCTTAAGACAAGTAAGGTCCCGAGCTTGAGTCCTAGCGATTCTTTCTCTTTTCAAGCAGTTCACATCCTCGACTTACTGTACATTTAATTTTACCTTTCCAGATTTTTCCCCAAAAATAGGTTTCATAATTATCATAATTTTAGGAACAGGATAATCTCTTTCTCTCTCCTCGGATAGAAAACCTCTCTTTGCCAACAGGGAAATGTTACTTCCACAAAATAGGGTATATTGCAAGATACTGAACCTCTTTTGTTCGCAGGCATTTTCTCTTGCCCGTACATCAACTGAACGAAAGGTTTGATTGACATTATGGTTGCGGACAATCTGGAATGTTGTTGAAGAACCTGAAGTTTTTAAACTGATTAAAATAACCTCGGATGTTGAGCCGTTGGTACTTTATAGAGAGAAAACGACCAATATGATACGAGTTATGATGAACTGTCCACCAAGGTAACGAGATATTATACATGCACACTCAGCTGTTAATTGCGATCATAAAAATATTGTTTACAAGTATTTTGTCCAACACTAACGGTTATAAGCAGAATATTGTTGACTTACAAATGTGCAACAATTGGCTCAAAAAGTGATTGATGAGATCTTGACATTCTAAGACCTGATGCTTAGCTGCTGGTTTGCGCATTCTAGACGTGATGCAGCTAAGCATCAGGTTGTTGAATGTCAGGATCTCATCGGTCAGGTTTTGAGCTAATTGTTGCTCATTTTTGACTCAACAGTATTCTTCTTATAATCGTTAGTGTTGGACAAAACGGATAACTTGTAAACTTATGGTCCTCGTTTTTTCATAATTTTAATCCTTCCCCCCATCCGAGTTAGATAAAATGTGTTATGGTGAAAAAAGGAGGACAACAAAAAAGGAGGACAACACTCGCTGACTGTATACGATCTGGTTACGTTGGTGTCGTGGACAGTTAGTCATAACTCGTAACATGTTGTCCTGCTTTTTTCACCATACTTTCATTGGCTCACCATCCGAGTTGGAAATATTGTGAAAGTTTTTTTCATGTTACAACATGTCCGTTCCTCCGATTGAGGTATTCGCCTTCTGAAGGTGCTATTGCACCTTTCTAAAATGGCCCCTTCACCTGTAGTAGTCATCAACACCCTCCAGGCGACAGCTGCGGAGAGTTCCTGTTAGCCACATTCAGTTTTATCCAGACAAAGTGAGACGATGACAATCCTGAATCCATGATGCTTCAAATTGGATTACGGAAGGGGCAGCAGGTGAGCATATGACACATTCCTGCTCGACAATAATGCAGCAAGAGGTACCTTCTCACAACTCATTAAGTTCGCACTAACCATGGAAATGCCTGGAGTGTGGCATGCGATAATCCCGAAGCAGAGGAGATTCGTTGCCTGGAGCGGGGGATGAGGCGCTTGAATGATATTATTTGGAGGATTTGGGAGGAAATGATGTTGAACAGAAGATCATGGAACGCCTTACTAAGTATCGTGCTTTGAAACATTTCCACAAGGATGGACCCTGCCGCTGCAAGGACAGCCACGAAAGGCGTAGCAAGAATTTTAAAATCTAATGTAAACAGTATCTGCAAGACGTAACAGGAAGAACTTTACTGTCCCATAAACCATTTAGAATGCAATTATTTCACTCTGTAATATGAAATGGAAAAACAGTGTTCCGAGAGCAACGCTCATTTTTTTAAGGGCTGTCTCTAATTATATTTTTGGTGCCATGATTTTGTGTGTATTGCAGGGCGTAAGTGCCTCGGCCAGGCTGTGCGGAATGGTGGATTTGTGAATAGCACGTTTGTAAACCATGAAATTCAGGTTTCGTGTAACGCCGGTCATAGAACCAAATACAAGGCTAGGTGCACGGAAAACGGATGGAAAGCAACGAACGTCGCTTTAGGGATATCATATAGTTTCGAGCAGTTTCCGGTATGTAAACGTGCATGTAAGTTGTCCATACAGAGTTTCACTAGAATAACGGGTTTATTGCATTGGATCGGTATCGTGGAGGGTTGGTGACTCGTTGCCAACTCAAGCATGAAACAAGATCGGTTATGTTTTGTTTTCGTATCGTTAAAACAAAAAAGTAAATTACCGTGTCCATGCCCGAAGCGAACACACGACGACAGCTAACACCAGGTAAAACCTAGCGACAGATTCAACGCCTAAAGATGGGGATGAAGGGCTACGTCTCGCACCCACTGGCACAAGTGCCGAGAAATCCCATTAGCCACATCCATGTGCCCCTTGTGCCTGGCCACAAGTTCCCAGCCTGGCTGCTACCCAGACGACAGCAACAGGAACATCAACACTGAGACAACAACAGAAACACAGGGGCAGCATCGTGTCTCCTGTTTTGACATTGTGGTAACTCAGTTGGGGTAGTGCAGATCTACTAACGTCACTGTGCTAATAATTTTAATGTCATTTTTTCTGACAGCAACTACACCAAAGCTCAGAGGTTATAGCATCCCTGGCCTCAAGCGAAGGTGCCTGATTCGAGTCTTGGTGTTGATAGTCAATATTTCGTCCCGTTTGCTTTTTTCCTACAAACCAGTGCTTCTTTTGTGACTTGGTGTAACAGTTTTCCCCTGTTCTCTATAACTTTACACTCCCTCGCACCTCATGCGTCTTACGCCTGTCTATTAGCACCTTCATTGGCGCCATTGCCACATGTATACTATCACATTTTGCATATAACTGGTCGAGGCACGCTCAAACAGGCCTCTTACTTTTCAAGTTTGATTAAACCTGTTACACTGGTAGCAGAGGATGGTTACTACTCTGCTTTTGGCAGGTGTTCTGGTCGCTCTGCTTACGCTCCTCGTACTCGTCGTTCGGCTGATAAACGATATCAAGACCGCTCAGCGCGTTAGCCAAGGAAACCGAACGATACATCCGAACTCGGAACCGTGGGAGCCAACACCCCGCCTTACGAAAGAGCCGCCTGTGTTTGGAGGAGATTCCGCTACATTCAAAGAATGGACGTTTGCAATGGACATGGCCCTACGGTCGTTGGCACTCCCAAATGCGGCACAGAGGGTCGACTACGCGGCAGGATTTTTGACTGGAAACGCTCGTCTTTGGTTGATAGCGGCATTGGAAGCTAACCAAGTGTTTTCCGACTGGCCTGCTCTGAAAGCGGCACTTGGCGATGTGTACGGACCACGGCACAACGAGGAAACATCGCGTATGGGACTAATTTCCGCAGCGCAGCGCGGGTCGCTGGACGCATACATTGCTGCTTTCACTCGCCTCAGCCTGCAAGTGCCGGAAATCGACCACCACACCAGAGCGCTGCTGTTCGTCAGGGGTCTAGTGCCGCACATCCAGCGACAGGTCATGCGTGAGCATCCACGTACCCTGGAGCAAGCTGTCATGGCAGCAAACACCGTGGAGCAGTCGTCAGGGCCACAGGCGTCGGGGCCACCAGCCAGTAGAGAGTCGCGTTCCGTGCCCAGCTTCCGTGGTCAGGGCCTCCGCAAGCTGACGGACCAAGAGCGTGTCCAACTGCGAGCAATGGGACACTGCTTTGCTTGCAGGAAGCCAGGCCACCTCGCTAAAGACTGTACTGAGGGTGGACAGCGCTACCCAAACGCTGGTCGCCAGTAAGAAAGGGGGTGCGCTTACTGGCGACGACCCAAGCACCCACGCCGGTACCAGTCGCTAACCGGTTCGGAGCTCTGGAGGTTGAAGACGTTGCTCTCCAGGAACCTACGGAGCCGGAGACACCCATAGCTGTAGGAAATTGTCCCGTTGCAGAAAGGTGTCATGTCAGCAACGTCAGCGTCGGCAATGAACCTGAACACGACCTACTGCGCATACAGGGAAAGATCGGCGGTCGCCGTGCAGTGATGCTGATAGATTCCGGTTCGACGCATGACTTCATTGCAGACAGTTTTGTTCGAAAGCATCATCTTGACACGGATGCAAGCTCAGCAGTGCTGAGCGTAACATTGGCGGACGGCTCGACCAGCGAGGTCCCGCAGATTTCCACACGCACGCTAAGGGTGACAGTCGGGGGCTTCAGTGAGGAACAGCACTTTACTGTGTATCCCCTGACTCGCTACGACGCTATTCTTGGCAAGCCGTGGCTTACAAGGAACAACCCCAGCATCAACTTCCGTACGAACGAAGTTCAGTTGGACGGTGAGCCCTTTGTTGCCAAATTGCCTTCAGCTAACCCGCCGACAGCCGACCGGCCATCTGTGGAAAGCATGTTTATCAGTGGCCGACAAGCTCGTCATGCCCTGAGGAGTGGAGCCGAGGGGTTTCTTGCATGGGTCACTGCTACAAACGAGGAGAATCGTTCCGGGCCACAACTCCAGGAATCAGAGCAACAAGACATCCAGAACCTGCTCAAGAGATACCAGGATTTATTTCCAGACGAGCTGCCGAATGAGCTTCCACCGAAGAGACCAGTCGACCATGAAATCCAGATAGAAGATGGAGCCAGACCACCGTCTCGACCCGCCTACCGCCTGCCGAAACCAGAGATGGACGAGCTCCAGTCACAGCTGTCAGAATTACTTGAGAAGGGATTCATTGAGCCAAGTAAGTCGCCATACGGTGCACCTGTGTTTTTTTGTGAAAAAGTCGGATGGTACTCTGAGAATGGTGTGCGATTGGCGAGAATTGAATAGAATTACGATCAAAAACAAAGCTTGTCTTCCTAATATTGATGACTTATTCGACACGATCCAGGGCAGTGCATATTTCTCCAAGTTGGACTTGCGGTCGGGGTACAATCAAATCAGAATTCAAGACTCGGATGTTTCTAAGACGGCCATTAATACGCCGTTCGGCCATTTCCAATTTAGAGTCATAGGATTCGGGCTGACTAATGCCCCGGCCACCTTTCAGTCACTCATGAACTCTATTCTGCAACCGCATCTCCGAAAATTCGTTGTAGTATTCTTGGATGACATTCTAGTTTTCAGCAAGACCTGGGAAGATCATCAGCATCATCTTCAAACAGTTCTAGAAACACTTAGAAATAGTGAGCTGTATTGCAAACAGTCTAAATGCGAATTCGGCGTGAGAGAAGTTCTCTTCTTGGGGCATAAAATCAACGGCACATCAATTTCCCCTGATCCCAAGAAGATAAGTGCTGTGGAAACATGGCCAACTCCGTCGTCAGTAACTGATGTGAGGAAGTTTCTTGGCTTTGCAAACTATTTCCGAAGGTTCATAGATCGACACTCGACCATCTCTCGTCCATTAGAAGAAATCACCGGAAAAAATTCACGCTTTGAATGGAGCGCTGCTAGACAGAAGGCATTCGAGTCTCTAAAATCAGCATTACTCGAGGCGCCAGTGTTGCAACTGGCCGATGTTGAGAAAAGCTTCACGGTAGAAACTGACGCAAGTGACTTTGCCGTGGCGGGTGTGCTCCTGCAGCAGGGAGAAGATATGGATTTGCATCCCGTAGCCTATTGTAGTCGGAAACTGTCAGCTGCAGAACGCAACTATACTGCGGCCGAGAGGGAAACGTTGGCTGTGGTATTTGCATTAAAGTGCTGGAGAATCTATCTATTCCGCCACTTTGACCTGATGACTGATAATATGGGTGTTGTCTATTTACGAACCAAACCGACTCTCACCAAGCTTGAGGCAAGATGGGTAGAGTTTTTAGCTGACTATGACTTTACGGTCTTTCACAAACCAGGAAAGAAAAACATTGCCGACCCGCTTTCACGCCGTCCAGATCTGTTCAGTGATTCTGAAATAGGCGGGTCATCCTATCCTCCTAACATTCAGTTGAATGCCATAGAGCATACCCTAGAGATTAATCCAGACTTAGCGCAGTTAATTGTCAGCGGTTACAAGTGCGACAAGGATCTTGCTCCCATTATCAGGAGACTGAAAAATTCAAGCCATGACAATCTGCACGACCGTTACCTTCTAAATGAAACACCCGGTTATCTTTATCTCAGATCTTCACCACAGAACAGGTTATGCATTCCAAAGAGTAGCAAACTCCGACTCGCCCTGCTTCAAGAATACCATGACTGTGTGACTGCGGGGCATCCCGGTCGAGATCGCACCTATTTCAGACTCGCTAGATATTTCTATTGGCCCAGAATGGGACTGGATGTAAAGGCGTTTGTCAAGTCATGTGACGTCTGCCAACGAGTTAAAGGCGGCCAGCTAAAAACTGGTCTCTTGCAGAATTTACCAGTGCCCAGTCAGCCGTGGGCGGATATCTCGATGGATTTTATCATGGGTTTGCCTAGGACCGATACAGGTCATGATGCTATATATGTATTTGTAGACCGCTTGACAAAGTGTGTACATTTAGCACCTACTTCCTCTACTATTGACGCTAAAGGAAGTGCTGATCTGTATATTCAACATGTATTTCGACTTCATGGTTTGAGTTCTAGTATTGTATGTGATCGTGATCCAAGATTTACGGCAGCATTTTTTCAGGAATTGTTTGATCGCTTAGGAACGAAACTAGCATTTAGTACTGCCAATCACCCTCAGACAGATGGCCTAACTGAACGAGTAAACAGAATAGTAGAGGATGTGTTGAGGGCTTTTGTAAATCATAAACAAGATAACTGGGATATGCTCCTACCTCTCTGTGAGTTTTCTATCAACAGCGCTACTCAATCATCTACAGGAAACACACCGTTCTTCTTAAATTACGGTCTAAATCCCAGAGCGCCACCCGACTTCCTCAACCCTATTCAGGGAGGCAGAGATTCAGCTGATTGGTTGCAAGCAAGACAAGACGCGGTCAAGATCTCACAAGATGCGTTAGTGGCAGCTCAAGCTCGTCAGGCCTTCTATGCAGATCGGACAAGGGTCGAGGGAAAGCTGAAGGTGGGAGATTTGGTAATGGTCTACCGGGATTTCCTCCTGACTCCTGAAGCTCGGGACCGACCATCCCATAAATTACGCCCCAAGTGGTTTGGCCCCTTTCCTATAACCCATGTGGTCGGCCCGAATGCCTACAAGCTCAAGTTGCCTCATACCAGCCGCTGTCACCCGGTATTTAATGTGTCGGCACTCCGTGCCTACGAGAAGAACGCTATTCCTAATAGGAGACAGCCTACGCCTCCGCCTATCACGGACCTTGATGGTCATGCCCGCTATGTGGTGGAGAACATTCTCAGTCACCGCCGCCGGCAGAATCAGCTTCAGTACCTAGTCAAGTGGCAAGGCTACTCTGATGCCACTTGGGAGCCTGAACATTATTTGTTGGATGAATCTGGTAATGACATTGTTCCACTTCAGAAGTACAAAACCTTGGCTTCTGCCCGCTGAGTTTTGCAGTTGAACTTCTAGTTTCACCTTACACATTTGTTGAGCTTATTACACTTTATTTGCATGGAGTTTCAGTCGTCTTATTGTGTTACTTCAGTGCGAAGCCTTTTTTCGTCTCGCACGTGTTTGCGCTTATTGTACTCTATTCCACTTGAGCATTTGGGTTATAAGCTCCTTCCTCTCCATAGGAGGGGGATGATGTAACAGTTTTCCCCTGTTCTCTATAACTTTACACTCCCTCGCACCTCATGCGTCTTACGCCTGTCTATTAGCACCTTCATTGGCGCCATTGCCACATGTATGCTATCACATTTTGCATATAACTGGTCGAGGCACGCTCAAACAGGCCTCTTACTTTTCAAGTTTGATTAAACCTGTTACACTTGGGGCTCCTTGTGTGCCATTGTCTACATGAACAGTGTGGGATAGAGTGAGGACTGTGTCCTATCCACCTGTGACTTCAAGGAAGTGTGAGTTACGAAGTCTGAAGAAACTGTGAACGGTCTTTGCTGCTACACCATAGCTCATTATTTAGAGCATGGCTGGCCTCAAGCATAGGTCTCTGGTTCCTGTCGTGGTGGTGACAATCAACTTTATCTTCAACCCTTTCCCGTGTCTTTCCGTCTAACCCGTGAATGTTATTTTTCTGATCACCTTTCAATTACACAGCGTTTCTGCTCTTGTGCCAAGGAAAGAATGTACCTCATGGTCGGATCAATAGCGTGCCACGGTTCACCTACTTTACTCCTGTGTGTGACAATGGATATCTTCCCCGCCGTCGACATTACAAATGCGGCTCGTTAACATCTAATCCTCCCAACCACTGGGTACAATATCCGGGAGATGGCTGTGCCTCAAGTGAGTACTACTATTACTACAGAATTACACCTACAAAAAGATACACGTTAAACAATTAAAGCAGTGGAGACACTAGGCGATTATTATCCTTGAAGTAATTGGTTTTTCTGTCATGTGGAATACGCGCACAAGTCCCAACAAACTTGAAAGTCTAATTCAAGTTAAGCGGAACGTTTTCTTGAGAATATTTTCAGTGGTTGTCACCACTCAAGAGATGGAACAAAAGGAAGAGCATTATATTCAATGTATTGGAGACAGCAGCTTTAATTCATCCACAAGTAGGGTCCAGCGGATAATGCCGGCTTTACATTCGGCATCATGAGACTATAGAAGCGTCATCCATCTTAAAAATAAACAAAACGAGCATTATGCTAGTTACAACCGGGAAGAATATCCAGTAATTCGCCATGCATTCTACCGCACCCGTGCATGAATTTGTGTAGAAACCTTATGTAGCAATGTAGTGAGATCAAGTAAGTACGTAGGTAGGTAGGTACGTTTATTATTTCAATTAGCAGAACCAAGCGGGCTGTGTCGCCCAATTACATGACAGCGAATGCAAACAATAGCAGAATTAATACAAAGCAAAGAACGCTCGCTCAATGAATAACGTTAGAGCAAAACTTAAGGGAGGCGGCAGACGGCACACGACTGGTACTGTGCAGTACCGCAAACGTTCAAGGCTACGCATAGTATCCAGTAGAGGCAACGTCTGATCATATCAACAAGGATCTTCGATGGCATACAGCTGCAGACGAGCATGAAGATGTACGCCATATACATGTAGCATGCCCAACCAAACTTCCCATGCTGTTAGACGATCCGTAACGAGGATCTACAAGGAGTACTAGTCGAAGATTTTTTAGAAATCATGGAGAGCCATGGAGGCGACGTATGGCAGGATTTGCATCAATATGAAAGAGTAATCCAGTCGAGTTTCTCAAGTGCGCGCCGGGCGTTGCGCAGCCCTAGACCTGCGAACACTGGGCTGCAAAAAGGTGCACGGGGCGTACTTGAGAAACTCGGCAGGATGTCGTTGAGCTGTACTGTATAATAGTGTATGTGTACATGATCTACTAGAGAACACTGGGACTCTATCTCCGAAACACTCGTTCATAAAAGGATCATCGTCTCGTTCGTGAGGGAACTCACCGCCGCCGCGCACACCACAAAGCAAGATGGCATCTTCGAGGTATGACTATTCCGGGTTCCTGGACTATGAAATCGGCCGTTGACGCGAATATCAAAGCCTTAGACAATCCACCCTGCAGCTACCTTCACCGAACGTTGCCCGTTTAGTTTTCGCATTTGAGAACCCAAAATTGCCTTTTTCTTTATCCAACAAAATAGAACAAAATTAACTGTGATGCATAAGCTGGAAGAGGAATACATAATTCAGTGCTCTTAGAGCACAAACGTCCTTAGCCTACTAAAGCTCAACTGATGGATAGTGAATTCACCGTAACACTGCTTATTGAGCAGAGAATGGTGGCTCCTTTCCTTTCAGGTTCGCCGAGTGCATGGGTCGGGAACTCCTACTGTGCTTCAGCTGCCAGTCGAGAGTCAGTCAAATTACTTATAATTATTGAAGCCGCAGGGAAAGCGCGAGCTCCATGTAAGCAACACACAATCCAGAAAGAAAGAATGACTTTTAAAGATCCCTCTAGACTAGACAGTGATAGAATTTTCGAAGACGTTTGATCTGCTTATTTGGTAATTTACGTGTTTTCAAGGTGTCTTTGTGTGCACATGCCTGCCTTTGCTTTTAGTGTTGAAATGCCCAGGAAGTGGCATTCAATACGTACTCTACAATAGCGGTGCTAATCCGTTGCAAACCTATAACAATCACCTTGTAAACTGCGGAGCAAATGTAGAAAGTCGTTTGCCAACCTCCGCTGATTTGCCCTGTATCAAGTTTGTGCTCAACACGCACAGGGAGAAATTCCCCGAGCATAACTTAACGACTTTGTTCTTTTATGCTAATGGAGCAGCTAACACCATGACCATGAGTTCCAATGGAGAATTAAGTACATCTCGACTATCACAGGCACAGCGGAACCAAGTATTTCCCGGAGCTACGGCTGCCATGTGCATACCAGCCTGCCAACAGTCGGTAAGATTAGGCGGCTATGACCTGTCAGTTTAAAAGCAGACACATATATTCATAATGTAATGGTAACAGCAGCAGGTAAACACTAAAATTTGAGGGAATAATTATTATTACTACCCTCTGATTATTGACTCCCATTATACCAAGAGTGCATAACCCCCCAGAGTGTGCAACGCCGATCCAGCTCTGCATAGGGTCTTGGTCGAGCGGAATCAGGGTCTTCTGATGTCATGCGTACACTCCACACCAGCTCAAGCCCGGTCTCGAGGCAGGGCACCATTGTTTTTGATCCAAGAGTACCCGCGACTCCCCGGGTTCCCCTCAGATGTGTACGGTATTATGACGCAAAGATCCGATTCCGCTCGACCAAGACCCTATACAGAGCTGGATCAGGCGTTGCACACTCTGGGGGGTTATGTTCTCTTGATTATACCCATCATACCAAGCAGTCAAATATTCCTGCATATTTTACTCCTTAGTGCTCTATTGACTGCTTATACTATTTGACTGCTTAGGGTTGCGCAGTTGAACGGTGTCTAGTGCATGGTCACTGTACTTTACTGGGTTGCACTAGCTGCATGCAGTACACCATACGTGCTGGTATCGAGTAGGTGATATGGTGAAATCCTAAAACGGGTATTCATGAGGTTATCGTTCTCGAATTTGAAATACGGACTGTTTGTCGCGATAAATCTAATATTGACTTCGTACTTGGTCAGTATGGGAAATAAAAACCCTGTAAAGGACCGAAGCTTTTCTTTCCTGTATTGACCTCGTAGTACCTGTAGACAAACCAGGCAAGCCACTCGGAAAACCGGAAAGTTATCGCCCGATCATGTTACTCTCTGTAGTGATAAAGGTACTGACGTCAGTTATTACTAAACGTAGAAATGAAAGAAGATAATCTTAAACCATAATTATGCTGTGACTTGAGCACAAACTGTCTGATTTTCAGTCAGAGGTAGGGGTGTTCGGATAATGCTCGAAAAGGTGGCAGTTTCTGCTCGGAAAGCAGTGGAATTGGCAGAACCATACAAACCTTATGGCGGGCAATTCCTCGAATTCTGCTCCATTTCTTTATCCTCATACCAAAAATGCGTGAAACTTACCAGAAAAATACTGAATTCTGCCAATTTTTCAGCCAGCATTATCCGCATATGCCTAGTCAGAGGACTTGGATTACTGAAACTTCTGTTTTTACTATTTCACGACATGAGCAATACGGCGAAACGTATGTCGTGTGAAACTACTTGTTATCGTAGTTAACTTGTCCACAACCATGTCATACATGAAGACTCTGGAGTACTGTTAGATACTGGCGTCCGGTTTTGTACAATTCGGTTTCGCAAAGCTTCCCCTTTCTTTATCTCTGATATTGCTGGCCCACCCAAGCTGGGTGGTGTGTTTCCTTGCTGCTTCGAATTGTAGTTGGACCGCATTGTCCAGTTTTTAACTTGTCTCTTCATCGCCCTGCAACGGTCGGCATTCTTTGTTGCCATGGGACTTAGCTTGTGCACATTTACGCTGCGTTCACCTACCCTGATTGGTACTACGGTACCATAACCTTGAGCCTTCCAAGCTGGAAGGCTGCTGGTTTGCGCACTGGAGATGTGTTGGAGCTAGGTCTCAGGTCTTCGAATGTCTCAGTAGCCTGTCAGCTTTGTGCCATGTTATTCACTTTCTGACTGCTTTTTACCTTTTTACAGTCGTTGAAAGATGCTTCATAACTCGTTTCCATGTTATGTCTTTTATTTTATATACTGGCTCAGTAACCGAGTTAAATTCCTTACTTTCTATAAACAAAGCGAAACAAAGTTCAAGTGTGCTATGTCATGATAAATCTAATGTTGCCCTCAATCTCTCATGCTCGGTCAATACAGGAGATATAGATATCGTAAAAGACCTCAGCTTTAGCTCAATCGTTTGCTTGTTCAAGAAGTTATTTTATTTACCTCGTGCAATAACTATACTTATGGTGGACCCCACGTGAATTACTGCGATTTTCACTAAAATCGCCCCGAAAGAGGGTTCTCCTTTTACTAGAACAGGTGAAGCTTTCATTTGAGAAAAAAACACTCAATGCCCATCTGATCTGCATTGCCTGCTTGTCTCATCTCGTTCGTTATATAAGTACGAATCAGTAAGAGATCATTGAGAAAGGAAACATTGATAGGGATTGCTCATGCAAAGTATGTACATACTTCGAAGTACATATCTTGGCACAGCATTTGAAATTGCATTTCACGCGGTTATTGGTGGTGTGAATACTTCTGAAACCTAACGTCAATGAAAATGTCAATGATCACGTCAATGATAACGTCAATAATAATGTTGACGCACTTGTAGTGGTAGTGGGTTCGCAGCTGCTCCTCAGCATCTTTTGAACCTTCATGGTCTGCATTAACATTGTTAAACTTCACCTAGGGTTCCCAGTAAAAAGGCAGTAGCCTGTTGGGACTCTCCTAGTAAATAATAAAAACTTCTACTATTTCACATTGTTCTTAAAATAGTCATTCTCGTGTGTTGGGTTTACTTTCTCACTACGCTGTTCGTGTGTCTACAGCGAGAGAACGGGCAACGCTCAAGGGTTTGATTCAAGTCAAGTAGCTCGCCGTACAGTTTGAATTTGCAGTGGCCAGGATGAATGATTACATCTACATCCCACAGCTGACCACATTGCTCTGCTTATTTGTTATGTAATCGAGCATACTCTTTGAAGCATTAGCACACACCTGCATTTTGTTATTTGGTTACTTGAATAATTCATGGCACTCCTTCTGAACAGATCGCCACGGATACAATCGTGGAAATTCAATTTTGTTCTATTCGGTGTGTACTCCATGGGCAGCGGCAAATCTTTACAGGCTTGTTTTTCTGGTGAATTTATTGATATCAGAAATCAATAGCACCACGGTTTTAATGGACGTTGGCTGGAATTTCCAGACAAGAGAAGGGACATTCATGCATGGCATAATTATAGTTCTCACTATGCATGGTTGTTTATGGCGGGTTGCAATCAGAGCCTTTCGTTCCTCGACTATTATACCCCGCCGGATATATTATTATTATTATTATGAAAAGCATGTCCGTGTAGGTGGCGGGGGTGCCACTTTCGTTACTGCCATTCAGGATTGATTGAAGAGTAATACGATACAATGAAATGACAGAAGTGACGTAAAAAAACGTTTGCAACAACACCAATATGACTAATGGAAAACTTCATCCAAAGTATAAAATAAAATAGAATATGCATACAACATGTCTGGTCACGTCAGTCCTGTTGGGTGGGGCGGGCTCCACGCCGGATATAATGTGATATTTAGGCCATTTTTGAGGGGTATGCAAATTTCAAGGTTCCCTTCAGAAACTTTTTCAAGGGCTTTGCACAATCGATCCACACCCCAAAGGGAATCTACCTGCAAATTTTGAGCGAAATCGGAGAGATCCACTTGCACACATACTTTGGTATTCTCAGACATGCTCTCTTTTAACAATGGCTATCATAATTCTGACTTATATAAGTCAGCAACTTCACGATCTTGAATAAGAATCAAGTGATGCTGTGAAAACCTGGGGTCGAGGTTTGGGGAATGCACATTAATACGTCATGTTTAACTCCGGTACTGAGCCAATAAATATAACTAAAATAGAAGAAACCACATGGAAACGAGCTATGAAGCAACTATCCACGGCTGTAACAAGATAATAAGCAGTCAGTAAGTGCAATACCAGGGCACAAAACTGTCATGTTACTGAGACATTCAACGACCTGTGACCTAGCTCTCACACATCTCCAGTACGCAAACCAACCGCGCAACCGCCTTCCATCTTGGAGGGTTCACGGTTTTGGTAGGACCAATGAGGTGAAGGTGAGCGCGGCGAAAATGTGAAAAAGCTAAGTCTCACGGTAACAAAGAATGCCGACTTTTGCGAGACCATGACGGGACCAGTTAATAACATGACAATGCGGTCTAACTACAATTTGAAGCAGCAAAGCAACACACCACCCAACTTGGGTGGGTCAGAGATAAAGAAATCGGGAAGCTCTGCGAAAACGAATTGTACAAAACAAGACGCCAGTATCTAATGGTACTCCTTATGCATGACAGTATTGTGGACGAGGTGACTACATTTCGTTTTGTGCCCTGTTATCGCACATTCTGACTGCTTATTATCTTGTTACAGTCGTGGATAGTGGCTTCATAACTCGTTCCCATGTGATTTCTTCTACTTCAGTTATAATCGTAGATTGAGTAATTTCATGTCCATATATTTTCAGACCACAATTTACTTAAAGAAGATTTTGATCGCAAAGTTGACTCAATTCTATACAGTCCGTCGTGAAGGCATGCTGGATATTCGTTTCCATTCCCGCATTTAATCATGTAAAGGTGTTCTTTAATTTCTCTTCCGTCCCGTCACCATTGACGAGGCGCAGCGGAATGCCTTCTATCAAAGTTCACCATGCAGATCCATGCTCTCCAGTCCGCTTAGTTTGATCTGGCATCTGTACACTGCAAGGTTCGAAATCAGTCAAAAATGAGTAAGTGAATGTCATTTCACTATGCTGCTTTCAATTCCCTTTCAAATTCCCTTACTGACATATTGCCCGGCAGTCACGGACGATACTGCAGTACTGAATACCAATATCGCAACGCACCACGACGTCATATTGTCCTCCCAGCAATATCTAGTATCAGCACAAAACCACCACACATGCACACACATACACATGCACACACACACACACACTCACCCCCCCCCCCACACACACACACAAACACACACTCACACACACACACAAACAGACACACACCTTGAAACTTGAACCTTGAACGCCCATTGCCGTAGCAATGATAGCGATTGCTTCCTCACGCTGAGGCTTTAAACTCGAAATCTGCAGTATGGCGCATGCCGCTTGAGGTCACCAGGACGATGGAACACTCTGTCACAGCGGTAGTTGGGGCACGGGATGTCTGGGGCTTCCTCCCTTCTTCCTTCTCCCTCACACACACACACACACACACACACACACACACACACACACACACACACACACACACACAAACACACACACACACACACACACACACCATTTGACCATTTGACGCCCATCGCCGGAGGCGATGATAGCGATGCTACAGCAGAAGCCTGTGCTAGGATTGCACCATTCAACAGCTTGCAAGGTTGAAGAATTGACATTACACTACATACTCCTGCATGCACTGGCTGTTGGTAACCACCCAGGAGAATGAAAGAAAAGTCAGGAGGAGTCTGAGTAAGAGAAGAAAGACGTGTGTGACCATAATCGTCGGGAACCGAATCCGCCACCTCTCGATAGGAAATCGCTGCACATACCACTGCACCATACGGGACACACACGCACACACACACGCACACACACACATGCACACAGATGAACACGCACACACCCAGGCATGGATACTGGATAAACCCTATTGATTTGTGCAAACATCTCAGACAAGTAAGAAAAGGTTTGCTCCTCACACTGGAGCTCGCACCATTCCGCCGACTTGACTTGACACTTGACTGACTCGCGAATGCCATCTAGAGCACACGAGAAGTCCATCGAACCTTCGACTCGGCAAACCTGCAAGTAAGCACCGTTCCCTGCTCACAGTATTTCGGAGAATTCACCACTCATCAGTTGAGCTTGAGTAGGCTGAGGAAGATTGTGCCTGAAGAGCACCACTTATACATGTACTGTATAGTACTCTCCAGTCACACACATCACCAGGGGTACAAACTTAGAGACATGCTCCGTTTTCAGCGAGACCAACACCTCGTGAACACCAGATACCAGCCTGAGTCAGTGTCGCTCCTGGACGGTGAGAACAGATGTCGAGGACCCACGGTCATTCACAACGCTGTCAACTCCAAACCAACTAGTCGCAAACCCGCGTTCACACCGTCCAGGAGCGACACTGTCCCCCGCTGCAATCTGGTGTTCATGAGGTTTTTGTCGCGCTGGAAATAAAGCGTGTCTGTAAGTTTGTATCCCTGGTGATGTTTGTACCTGGAGAGCATTATATAAGTGGTGCTCTTCAGGCACACTATTCCTCAGCCTACTCAAGCTGAGTGAGGGGTGAATTCCCCGTAATAATGTGTATTGGGGAAGGGGTGGTGCTTTCTTGCAGGTTTACCGAGTTGAAGGTTCCATGGACTTCTCATGTACTCTGAACGGCAGTCTTGAGTCAGTGAGTCACGTGCCGGTTGAGATCTAGTGGAAGCCGAAACCGTTTGTTGCAGAGCCGGCACCCACATTCGAATGTTTCCCTCTGTTTTCAAGTAGGGTGACTGCCATGGCTGCATTTGTGCGGCTTGAAACCGGATGGCGAAAACTGGCATTGACGCAATGAGCATTGGAGTGGCAAAACTCCAATGCTCAATGTGACACACACGCACACACACATACACACACAAACACACACACATACATACACACACGCGCACGCGCAGACCGAGACACGTACCCCTCCCTGCAAACACAAATACACCTATGCCCACACCTCACCCCCCCCCCCCTCACGAAAACAAACAAACAAGACACTCCCACAAGAAACACTGCCCTATTGGTGTATTGGTTTTTGATTGTGGTGCATTTTTGGTGGTTAAAGGAATTGTTGTGAAACCACAAGTTCTCGAGAGTGAAAGGCCTTCTCGCTTGTGACATTGTGTTCGCGTCAATGCAGTTGTACCCCGACTCCGCCGTACCGCTGATGATTACGACGCAGTATACGCTACATGCGCCATGTGCGGTTTGCTGTGTGCGCTGTAGTTGTATGTTGTATGTGTATGCTTTTCTCATATACGCTGTCATTTTCACGCTATAACTACCTGGTGGTTTTAGGGCATGTTCGATTGGTAGGATCGGGATCCCGATCCACCGGATCCACTGGATTCGCACCCTTTCGATTGGTCGAATCTGGATCCGGATCCTTCGGATTTGGATCCGGTCAACCCACCTCGGGGAGCAGGGTTGACCGGATCCAACGGATCCAAATGTGACCTTTGTGCGTATATGGCGGGTAAAAATCGTTTTTGTACACATTGTGGTACGCACACGTGGATCGAGATAGACCTTGCTGACTTTTTGTACAACTGGCATGGTGAGTACGACTTTTTATTACTTTCGTCAACATGGCAACAGTCAAGGCCCAAAAAAGTGTCCAGTTGACTCTGCAGGATCCGACGGATCTGAGATCTGGATCCCGATCCCGATCCTTACCAATCGAACATACCCCCCATAACCGCATGCTCCTTAAAATCTTATTTAGCAAAGATCGTCGCTTTCCCTCCGCTAGTCTTTACGAAATTGCCAAGATCAGTCCCCTTTCCACTCGACATAAGTTCCACCTCTGTGTTCTCATACATAAAATATTACTAAATAAAATACCCTTGCATATGCAGGCTTATAATTGGTTCTCCGAAACACGGAACACCCGGAACTCACTCAGTCTCCCACGCGCTGCCTCCACCCTATTCACTAGATCCCCGATCTTTGCTGGCTATGTGTTTTGGGCAACATTACCAACGCAGGCCAAGACCAGCACGTCGATGGATAATTTTGTTGCTAAAATCTCTGCTCAATTATAGGTTTCATGTATATCCTGCTGGTTTGTCTCCTCCTTTGCCTTCTTTGCCTCTTATTTGTATTCTTTTATCTGTTTTACTGCTGTGGTTGGCTTTCACCCTTGTCTCAGTTTTATTGGCCGTCATCAGGATGTGCCATGAGATAATGATATAAATACAAAAAAAATACATGCCCTTAGTGTTATACATTCAGTTGTTTCATTATTCATTCATTGTTCATTGTTATTAGTCGATGGAAGTGAAATATCCTGTTGAGAATAAATAGTTGTCCTCGTGCCGTGTGGGGTCGTTCGTTACTGATACTTTAGAGAACCAGAGGGTTCACAACAGGAATTGAAAAAGGAAAGTGTTTCACAGAATGAACTGCTTCATTGTTCCAAACGTCATTGCAAATATCATTAACTGACGTCCGGCACGTTACAGAACTCGGAGTTGTGGCTCATCTGTGTGCTGGCACCGTCATTATTGAAATACTATACTAAAGGCAGCGTGTATATGTAGTTGAAGATGGACGAATTGATTGTCCGGTATGGATCACTTGATTGTCATGTATATATATCTGGATTGTCCTGTACGATTGTTGAACTTCTCACACTGGAACAAAAGGAATTTTATTCACAAAGAGATGAATGGAAGCATCTTTTAGATATTTACTCCATAAGACCGAAGGAAGGTACACAAATTCGTTTGCGCGCCCACCCCTCCCCTTCCAGAGTCATACTTCTTCCCTTCATTGGTGTTCTCCCCATATTCTCATACGTATAATTATAGGGCTGTGTTCCCAGTAAAAAAAACCCATCAGTCCTCTCTTTATAAGGACCGTTATCTCAACATTCCTAGCCCTTTCGTACTCTCTGCTTTCCTTTTGTGCTTCTGGCCAGACTGCAATTATCACTATTGGCAACAGAACATTTTTCGTTCATGCTATGGTTATGGCTTTGTTACAGTGCATTATTTAGTGCACGAGTAACTGTATAGTGTACACCCTCTGGAAGACCGCGGACTCCCCATATTGCAACGGAATAGCGAGACACTGAACTTTAATAATCATTGGTGCAATTGAAGATAATTATTACGTGGGTTTGCAGTGGAGCAAGCAGAGAGTAGAGTAAGTGTCTCCAGCTATGAGCGATAAGAAAAGGCATGAAAAGCGTACATGTTGCAAGCAGGCTAGGCAATAAACAATTATTACAAGCATTGACAATGTGTAAAGGATAGCGTGGTAGCGTGATATCAGAAAATTATTTCGCCTTAGGTATCATAGAGGCTAAAGACAGTCAAACCCAAGAGGAGATGTGGTTGCATTTTGTCTTACTGTTCTTGAAAAGTACTAAAAAAAGCCCGCAAAAAAAGAACAGCAAATGGTCTGTTTTCACGTAACCTCCCGTAAGTAACACATTGATTGTATTCGACAATTTATAATGTCCAGTTGGCGACTTTCAAGGACAGTCTGGTTTGTATCAGTCCTCGAGCACACCATGCTCGGCGGTTGGTCCAATATGCTGTATTCTGCCACCTAGTGAAGATATGAAAGAAAATCGTACAGTCCACGTGTAACGGCTTGGAGGTTAAGTGCAAAAGATGCCCATGCTGCAATGGGGCTACAAATTCTAACAATAAAGCTAAATATATTGAAATAGTAAGTAAGGAATCGGCAAACAGCGCCTTGTTTTCTCAAATATCCGAAGTTTTGCTAATTCCAACGGGCGATAAGCTGGATGCAAAGAATATGCAAAATGGTGGTAAGTGCTCCAGATGCAGAAAACGTAGAAGAGAAGAGGAAGAAATATAGAAAGCATGTATGGCTAAATCTGGCCCATTGTTTCGTACTGGGGCTCTTGGTTTGTTTCCACTGCAGTTGAGGTCATCTCGTAAGCATCATTTTCTGTCAATTTGCTCGTAAAAACCGTTGGTGGCTCGTTGGTGCTAGTCTCTCTTTTCGTGGGGATCTTAGCCGGGCCCCTGCGTCGCGCTTGATAAACTATCATAAAAGTGCCAGGAATAATCAAGCCGACAAGAAACCCAATAGCTCCTGCAACAATGGTGAACGTTGTGGAAGATGCCATTGTTTGTTGCTCTGCAGAGTAAAATCAAGCCAGCACATTAACATTAAACATAACATAACACATTTATATCATTGAAGAAAACGCCTTTCTGGAGAGGTTTCATCTACCGAATATGGCATTCTTAACCTTCCCCACCTCTGTGGTTGCACCTCACAAAATGGAAGGAGATTAACTCAAGCAGCCACTTGCGTTCAGCATCAAGCTTTTTGGCCCAAGACGACTTGTTGATAGCTTTAGTTCCCAGAAACAACTGCAAACCGACGCACCCAACTGAATAAAAAAATTCATTATTATAACATTCATTCTTCCACTAAAGCTGAAGTTTCAGTGAATACACTTTGGAACACCCATAACAATTTGCTTAATCTTTTATCTCCTTAGAATCGGCTTTTCGTGCATCTTTGTAGTGCAGTAGTACATTGTGCTGTTGAGCAACCGAAGTACAATGAATTCAATACAGTGCAACACCGGCGCGAACACGGAATGTACATGTCATCGAATGAAATCATGAATAGATTTTGGTTGGAGTAAAGCGAATCAGCACACGAAGCTCAGAAGCCATATAATTATTTCGACTAGGCCTTTCATTCCATTACTTTTCAGGTCGAATACAATGATGATTAACAAGGTAGTAAGCAAATCCTTATAACCGGTACATTTTGGCGGGCAGAGCATTGACAAAAATAGCACTTGCAAGTGGCACCAACAGCATATTTGGCGATCAAAACACCAGCAACTGTCATGAGACAAAGTGAACGGCTGCGTCTCCGCAACAATGCTCTGGAACAAGCGGCTGATACAGAATTGGCATGTGGAGGAGTTTGTGACTCCTCGCCCTGCAGAGAAGTCGCCAGCGGCACAACTGCGATGCAGAATAGCTACCACAGGAATGGACCAACGGACAATGACGATAATGAGAAGGACTCAGCGATACTCCGTCACCTGACATCGTCACCAGCCTGCCTAAGTGCAGTCTGCAAACATTGCACCCACTTTCACTTCACAATTCAAGCGCGTGCGCGCAACAAATCTCACCTTGCTGTGCTGCAGGCAGTGTAGATTGCAAAGCTGAAGCCTGAACTGTGCGTGCAAAAGAAGTATGTGCGAAAGTGGTCACTGTTTTTACATTGTAGTACCGTGGTCCCCACTGTTGTCTGATACTGGTAATATTCATTGTCTCACTGTGTAGTTGGAGCCACTACTGCAATCTTTTAAAGTGCTATTTGGTCTATGCTCTGACCGCGAAATATGCTGTTGACGCCACTAGCGCTATTTTTCAAGTGCCATTTTTGTCAATGCTCTGCCCGCCAAAAAGTGCCGGTTATAAGGACTTGCTTACTACCTTGTCAATAACCATTGTATTCGACCTGAAAAGTAATGGAATGAAAGGCCTAGTCGAAAAAATTACATGGCTTCTGTGCTTCGTGTGCTGATATGAAATCATGCCCTAGACACCTGGAAGGGTTGGGCCAATTCTGCTCTTAGATAAAGCCATATATGAGCATAAAATCACCCATTTTAACGTTGGTGAAAAGTCGTTTCGGAGACAGAAACTTTAATACAGCAATCGTGAGACCTAACTGTGCGGTAATCATGCTTTCTTCCCGTAGCTATGCAGAAGACGTTACTTCAGTAACTTCTGGTGCTAGCCAGGGTCCACACAGCTTTTATTTGGTGTTTGTTTGTTTGTTTGTTTGTGTCACGCCTTTAGCTATCCCGTATCTGTCCCGTACCGTACCGTACCATCAAACACTGCTGGCCACGGTTGGACAAGTGTTAAAAAAGCTGGCCACAATATTTGCTGGCTCCCATATCCAGATATCTGGCCCGTACCGTACCGTACCATCAAACACAGCTGGCCGCAAATAGCTGGCAACCGTATTCGTCGTATTATGTATACGACTTCCTGAGGTATGGGGAGATTTGGAAAGAAATAGGGAGACGAGGAGGGAATGAAATTAGAAGGGACGTTAGCTGCAGAATAGGTGATAGGATCCGTCAGCAAAAACATACTTTGGAAGAGAGATCCCGTTGTCCCCAAAATAAGCGTGAATGGGCGATTCAGCGCCGGTCACAGGAAACGTCGGAAAAGAGATCCCGTCGACTCCTGAACGCCCGTGATCGACAGAGTCAGCGCCGGTCCCAGGAAACGTCAGGACAGACATCACGTCGACTCGAGAACGATAGTGCAGGTTCGAATCCAAGGTTATGTTATTAACATCCCTATGGTTTTTGTTTGCATAGGTCATCAAGGCAAAAAAGCATAGCGTAGGGCCCTGAGCTTCCAAGCTCTCTCGTTGCAATAGTAACACACTTGAGAGAGAAATGATAGTTTTTGAAATGTTTGAAATGCACATGTAAAAGAAGAAGAAGACGTGATCGGAACCGTGTTCTGGTTTAAAAGATCTCCATCCTCTACGCTGGGTTGTGGAGACAATAGAAGATACGCGAAAAATAGAGACAACCAAGTGCAGAAATCTCGGTGAAGACGAATCAGACGTTCAGCATACCCCCCAACCAAAGACCATGCCGTTTGCTCTTTCCACTTCCTGATGGATGCATGTAATGATTGTTGGCGACTTCCTTTTTCTCTCGTGACATGTTATTTTTAGCGAAGTCAGACGACGGGTGAAGGAGATTAACGAGCAACATAATCTTGTACTTTTCTGAAAGTTAGCCGAGAATTTCTATGTAGAGATGGCGAATGGCCACAGTCATCCTCGGTTAAAGCAAAAGAAGGCCAATAAACATCGCAGGAACAGCATTGAACACAGAATTTCTTGCACTGGCGCCTAGTGGATGCATGGTTGGCGACGTAACAGGCTGGTCAGGCGCAAACTGATGGTGGTGGTGGTGAGAAGGAGAGCTCTGGGCTAGAACTTAGCAGCTTAGAGAGCGTGTGTGGGCAGGCGTGTGTTTACCGTCATATTGCCAGGTGTGTCTTTACCGCCATATTTATCAACCATAAGTACTACTGCAGTGGTTTCTTCAACTTCATTCTCCTGAGTCAACCGCCGTGTGAAGACATCCAAGAAGAAGTTCGCCTGATGAGTCCAGCGGGGACGAAACGTACGTTGCTGTGTCATCTTCTATGTGCCATGCGATACTTGATGTACCAGCCTGCTATGTCGGATACCGCCAACCATGCATCGACTAGGCGCCAGGCGCGTACTGATGGTGGTGGTGGTGAGAAGGAGAGCTCTGTGCTAGAACTTTGCAGCTTGGAGAGCATGTGTGGGCAGGCGTGTGTTTACCGCCATATTGCCCGGTGTGTCTTTATCACCATATTTTTCAACCATGAGTACAGCTGCAGTGGTGTCTTCAACTTCATTCTCACGTAAGCATTTTAATAATAATAATACTTGAAGCAATTTGAAACTCGGATATTGAGCCAATAATAAAAGTAGAAAGGAAAAGGACATAGCTAGGTGTCCGGACGTCGAACGTTTCAGTACTCTGTCAGTTTTGTGCCTAGTTGTTGCACTTTCTGACTGTATATAGTATGTAGTTACAGTGGTGGAGAGTTACTCCTTACTCGTTTCCATAAGTCCTTTTTCCTTTCTCTTTGAAGTAAGATTAATACTTACTCTGTTATTTGCCTTTACCCACAATTATTTTTGTTATGGAGATCAACGCCACAAGGAGAAGGAAAGTGTTGCCATGGGCAACCAACTCGCTCCTCGAATTGCTATTGTCTTCATGCACTGCGTCGAGACTCGTATGTTGGAGACTGCCATCCTCCAGCCATCCCTCTATGCAAGGTACATCTGTAGTATCCCTGCCTGGCTAATACGGAAGTAGTACGGAACTAATACGGAACTTAACCTGATGGACATTTAGTGTATCTCCGTATGTAAACGTATGGCGTCTGCTGCATAAAAGCTGCTGCGCATTTCTGTTTTGAGGAGATTAGATTTTATAACAACGACAAAGCTAACTCAAAGAAGAAGTAGTCAACCTCTAGGTGTGCACCGGAGAGAAAGTTATTTATTTGCCGCTTCTTCTTTTACTAATAATTATATCCCAGGTGTGTACCTGAGAGAAGAGAAGAATAAAACTAACTCTTGTTGATTACACCGCGCCCACCACTCGGCTACCTGTTACATTGGTCGCAGCGGTGTGTATTTTTTAATAAAACAACGTGATTCGACCCCCAGAACCCCATGGCTCAACCCGCTGCAGCTCCCTGCGATGATTCAAGATGAGAATCATGTTTCTTGCCTTCCTGGGCCTGGCCCTGCTTATTGGCCTTCAGCACAGTCAGGGTGCTAGCGTGAATCACCCTTTTCTCCGCACGGCACACACTGGAGACTCCGATGGCGATTCCAAGCGACCCGCTACCTACATGTATACTACCGGTGGTGATGGCGAAGCTGATGAGGACGACAACAGGCAGGCTGCTGCCCAAGACAAGGAGGATATTCCCGAAGATCAGCAGCGTTTGATTTTCGCCGGCACGCAGTCGAAAGCAGGAGCCCACTCTTCACTTGGTACTTCGCCTCCGTGGTGGGATGCAGATTTTCGTCAACAATCTTCCTGGCTAGACCATCACTCTTTACGTCGCGCAAAGCGATGCTATCGACAATGTGAAGACAACGATTCAAGACGAGGAGGGAGGTCATTTGTCTGATGCCGAGCTAGCCGCTCTGAGTGACCGGCTCAACCAAGATGAAGATAAAACCTGGCTTGCCCTCCACCGTGGCTCCAGCCCCCGCCGTGGTTACTAACGCTGATTCCAGGTATGGCATTTTTCCTGACTTCCTTCAGTCTCCCTATTCTCTTCAGTCTTACTTTATGCGAGTGTGTGAATCCAGTTTTGTTTGGTAGGCGTCTGATCATGGTGAGCCACGGTTTACCTCAGTAACCTTGTGAGAGAAGTGTGTGAGAATCCCCTTTTACACTCGGGGTGTGTACCGGAGTAAGTTCCCACGATGCAGTGCATTTTTTTGTAATTGTGAATTTCCTGGCAGTTTGAGCCCACGATGTGCAGAAATTTGGCTGTCTTTCACGTCCTGTTTGGATGAACATTCTTTCCCTTTTGACCCCAGGGATCGTGTGAACCTGGTGTGCTTTTACTTCTATGTTATGATTTGTTATCAGTTCATTTCTTCTGTCTACTCTAAACGTTATCATTTCCGATATAATTTGCCATTTTCCGGTTGACGCTGAGTACATAACTTTGTTCGCTATTTTTGAAAATCACGAGGGCGTGATTATCTGTAGGAAGGGAGGGTGTAGTATCCCTGCCCGACCAGTACGGAAGCAGTACGGAACTAATACGGAACTTTGCCTGATGTATATTTAGTGTATCTCCGTATGTAAGCGTACGGCGTCTGCTGCATATAAACTGCTGCGCATTTCTGTTTTGAGGAGATTTGATTTTATAGCAACGACAAAGCTAACTCGAAGAAGTAGTAGTCAACCTCTAGGTGTGCACCGGAGAGAAAGTTATTTATCTGCCGCTTCTTCTTTTACTAATAATTATACCTGAGAGAAGAGAAGAATAAAACTCTTCTTGATTACACGGCGCCTACCACTCGGCTACCTGTTACACATCGATGATACAATTATTATAATTCGGATCTGTGGCTCCACTGCTCTCTGGGTATTCATTGCCCACTACAATCGCCAGCACCCCAAAATCAAGTTCACTTATGATAGCAGTGAAAATGGACCCGTTCCATTTCTTGACGTTCGCGTTGAGGTTACCCCTAAAGGCACCATTACTAACCGACTGCTCAGGAAGCCTAGTAACGATGGCGTCAAAGTAAACTTTTATTCCCATAGCTATGCAGAAGACGTTACTTCAGTAACGTCTGGCGCTAGCCAGGGTCCACACAGCTTTAATTTGGTGTTTGTTTGTGTTTTTGTGTCACGCCTGGCGCTATCCCGTATCTGTCCCGTACCGTACCACCAAACACAGCTGGCCGCACTACTAGTATTCAAATAGGGCTTTCAAACGCAAGATCATAACGTGAAGCAACTTGGAAGAATGAGTATGAGTGCGAAGTGTATGGGGGAATGCATGTAGGGCGATAGTGCGGGTTCGAATCCCAGGTAATGCCTTAAAAAATAGGAAAATTGAAAACTTTATAAACATCCCTATGCTTTTTTTGCCGTCATCAAGGCGGTAGATTATGTCGTTTTACCCTCGACCGTACCTGTCCCGTACCTGTCCCGTACCTGTCCCGTACCAAACCGTACAATCAAAGACGGCTGGCCACAAGGCATAACCGTATTCAAATAGGGCTTTCAAATAAAAGATCATAACGTGAAGCAACTTTGAAGAATTAGTATGTATGTGAAGTGTATCGGGGATGCATGCAGGGTGATAGTGCGGGTTCGAATCGCAGGTTATGTCTAAAAACAAAAAGTAGAAATTTATAAGAATTTATAATAATACAAATAACCTACGTGGAGATAATAATTTTAATATAGCTTTTTTCCCACTGATGATAGGAACGAGAAAATCGATTCTGGGTTTTCAATAATATTTTTGTTATAAAATACACAGTAATACATGTCAAACAAGTAACGTAGTTGCGTGATGTCTGCGGCCTTCATTCCTATTCATAGATTTATTAAAATTTATAATATCCCTATACTTTTTATGCCTTTATGCTTTAGGGTTTATCGGGTGTTAGCAGCCGTCGTGAGTTCCCTTCGGGAACGGACACGATAATTTAATTTCTTACTTATGCTTATTTTGTCTAGGTGATCAAGGCAAAAAGGCATAGCGCAGAGCCCTGAGCTTCCAAGCTCTCTCGTTCTCAAGTGCTTCGCCCTGTCAAGTATGCGGTCGGTAAGCAGCACTTCGTCACTGCTCGAAAAAATTCATCCTCACTGGCAGAAGCCTGTGAGAGTCTCCGTATGACAGATTGCTGTTAAGCAACAACTATCCCGAGGCAATCACAAAAGAGATTGTCGGAAAGGTTGCCACACTGCCCAGCGACATGAGCCACCCATTTAAAAAAGAGTCCGCTATACTTCAACTACCCTTTCGCACAGAAGACATTCAGCGGACGGCGAAGCATCCAGTCGAGCGCTCGGGATTCCCGGTCAATGTTGTGTCTGAACACACTCCCAACCTCAAGGATGCCCTTGTGAAGTCAGCGCTGAATCAAATAAAATGCAGCGCGACACTAGAACGAGTGACGCGCCGAGACCAGCGGAGGTGAGGAAGACCGGTCACCCCTTCCATCTCATGTTCCTTTGTTTTGCCGAGCTGTATGTGTGATCCCCCCGGCATTATCTGAAGTGTGCACTGTGTCGCAAGCGCTATGTTGTGGAGACCATCAGGGTTGCACGAGACCGTTTCGAGTAGCACCACTACGAAGCACGTCACAGGATGCTCGACAAACCGTGGGGTAAACACATGGCTACTGATCACCAGCAGCACGGAATCATCAAGAGCACAGACGTGATTTTCATTGAGGCCAAAGGCTCTGGAAACACGGATGGCCAGATGTCAGAAGAAAAATCAGGGAGTCCATCGAGATTCAAGAGCGTCGTCCGGAAATCAAGATCTCCTTCGGATGGCCATTGAAGGCGCTAGCACCCTCAAAAAGAAGTTGCTAAATCTTGCTGTGTCTCTACAGAGGTGTACACACTATTATTGTGATGTACACCTTCGGGCACACATTTCCTGCACTTTATCTGCTGAGCTGCGCCGTACCCACTCTTTCAGCGCATTTCTCTTTGTCTGTTGTACATGCAAATTCATACACTCAATTTCATAGCGCTATCGTGTGTTTCGTTTGCTTTTAACATGGAGATATATACGCATAAAGCTTGCCTTTGTTATAAAAGGCCAGGTTCGCTGCTTGTTAACCCTTTGTGTACGGACTGTACAACTTTCGATCCCCTGGGGTCGAAACTTTTCAAATTGTCAATCGATCGTAACTCAGTCATCTCTGGGTTATTTCTAAAAAATAAAATATGTAGGTCAAAGAGAAAACTCCCTGCTGTCCATTGAAACAATCGCGGACGCACTCCGAAGTGCGGTTCCAGAGGTACGAAGCTCGAAAGTCAAATCGCGGTAATTGTCCCTCAATAGCCGCGTGCGCAAATTTCAGTGAGGGATTTCCCCATAATTCTTGCCATGCGGTGACGTAGAAACACGTTCAAAATGTGTAAAACTTAGTTTTAACAAGCAAGGAGAGCGAAATGGCTGATACAAGACGACTTCTGTCGGAATATTGGCGTTGCAACTAAGACGCTGGGTTGTAGCGCTGGCGTTTTGACCTTTGTGGTGGCAAGTGTGGGCTCAATGTGTTTCTCTTGCGACGAGCTTTCCAGGAAGCCCAAGATTGAAAAAATCGTCAAAAGGAGACCAAAGTTATGACCCGAATTTTGGAATTGGAGGTGAGTCGAGATCAAATTCAGTCTGCGTACATTTTTCCGTACATAAAGGGTTAAGTGTTCTGACGATAGGTGACAGGCCCAAAACGTCAACAATTTTCTCGACGTCAATAATAAAAGAATTTGCATCCAGCGCATGCGCCAAGAGTAAATTGCAACCAAATAGAGCGGTTGTCAGTTGACTAACCTCCTTTTGCTAACATTGCTGACAAGAAATCAGATCTTTAGTCTTTACTTACCAGAACAGGGGCGAACACAGGCTGGAGCTGGTTCAGACCAATTTCCACCTCTCAAGCATACCGTTGTTGTTAGATCCATAGTTTTGTACCCGTCAGAACAAGAGTACGTTCTTCGTATGCCGATGACTTCCGTCCCTGTGTCTATCCGCCCGTTGGCTGGAGCGAATAATTTAGGGCATGAGTTTGTGCCGTCTGTAAATTAAAATACATTGGCAGCAGAAAGTGTGTGTGAAGATTTAGCGGCCAGAAAAGGTTCCAATTTGCACATTGTTTCGGGGATGATTTGCTAAGAAGTCCGCCCCAAATGTCCGAAAATATTGTCAAACGAGAGAGCTTGAAAGCTCAGGGCTTTTTTGCCTAGATCTTCGTGCATCATGGGATGACAATAAGCCGAGTGTTGAGATGGACCTAAAGGAACAGCGATCTCTGCTAGGCGAATGATGTCCGATGTAAGCTATCTAAGCCGTTTTGCAAAATGGAACTGATTCTGAGTAGCCGATTACTTTCGTGTGCATCGTGCTGCTCTTGTCTGCGCAGTGTGACAAGAAGATTTATTTTTCTGCGGCGTGATATCAACCAGAAACACCCACCCGTCGCTCTCAAAATCAACTCGAAATATAGTAACCTTACTAACCGATATCGGGATGAAATGAGCTGCCAAGGGAGCTTTGGCGACATAAAACAAAAATGACAGTTAAGCGACTATATTGATGACCCGGACCAAGTAGAGAAAGCTGCGTCCCCCAAACTTCCATGTATTCCGAATATCTCAACACTCTATGGAAACCTCGGCCATGTAAAGAGAGATTGATGTCAGAATCACCACGTCTGATATGAAAACTAGTAAATGGCGATATTGAATTTGTAGGGCATGACGGTGCCCAAAATGCCAGTCCAGAGCAAGAGGAATGTATAGTACTTCGAAAGACTGTCTGGTGAAAGTAAAGTGCAGGAGATGCATTTAATTATAGGATTCTGTAGTAGTGAATTTGTCAGGGGTGAAACAATTATTTTGTTTTACATGCAGAGGTATATTTACGCTGATAGAGACATATTGGCAATGTGTTCTTATACCTGCCATGTTCGTGTAACAATCCCCCCCCCCCCCCCCCCCCCGACGCCGTTCCTTTTAATTTATTGGGCATTATCTGATGATAATGCAATTTAGCAGAAGGTCAAATTAATTGACCTCCACCATCTGCATAGAATGGGTAGTGATTTCTGTCAATATTTTGAGCGGTTATCTCACACTCACCAGTACACACTGGGTTGCTAGACCAATTGCCGTTCGCTAAGCACACTGCTGTCTTATCACTGCCCAGCTCATATCCAAGATTGCAGGTCGCCGTTCGCACACTTCCGATAGTGTTCTCTCCATCCGAGACCTTTCCATTGGACACTTGCAGTAAGCCATACTGCACAACTCCTGCAACAATAGCCATGACAGGAACATTTTTTGTGACACTAACAGCCAACCGTAGGTTGGCTCCACCATTTGAGTTTGTTTATACTTCCTCCGTATACAAAACTTCGTGACTTTTTTTCAAAGGTGTGTTTGAGCAAGAACCCGGTCAATGAACCGCACCAAAGGCTGTCATCGACAACTCACATTCATTTCGAGGTAAGTTTGGTTGATCCCGACCAGATCCTCCAAGGAAGCCATGCGTTTGAGGACATTCGCGACGGGAACTCATGAGTCAAGCCAAACCATTACTTACTTCCTCGAAACTGACACAGGTGCACCCAAGAAGACGAAACAAAACAACAGCACATCATCTCATGGAGTTAGTTCGAACTGATCGCCATGGCGGAGAGAAAGAGTCTAAGAAGTATAGCTGCTAAAGTTGTGAAAACGAAAACTGCCCCTACGATGACCAAAGCGAAGCGCGCGGGTCGAAAAGACATCAAAACACCTGCAAGGAAAGATGTCACACTTCGCGCGGCGGCAATCACGCGCGGCGGTCGTCTTACAAAAGCAGCCTTCTCCCAGCTGCAGGAGGACTTCCCGGACCAAAATCTGAAGCCTAACTTTGTTCGAAAGCAACTGAAGTGGTACAAAGAGCAAGAATACGGTGGCGTACCAACATCTGCTATGGAATGGGGCCGCAAAAGAAAGCACTGCGGAAGAGAGGCAATAAAGTTTACGGAGAGTATCGCGCAAGATTTGATCGATATCAACAATCGGCATTGGGGCCAGCTATCATTCAAGCGCTTAGCTGGAAAGTTGGCGGAGCGCGGCACCAAAGTAACAGCCATGACAATTCGCAAATGGTGCAAAGAACTGGGAATGGTGAAGCGGAGGCGGTATATCAAGCCGAAGCTGACGGCAACTCACCGGATAAATCGCCTGCAGTTCGTGTTGGGCCAGATCGACCGCTCCGCCAGACGATTCACCAACCTGGAGAACGTTGTACATGCTGACGAGAAGTGGTTTTTTCTCATGAAGGATGGCCAGGTGTGCCGCGTCTTTCCTGACAAGGACGGCAAATACAAACTGCCGGCATCGCCGAAACTCTACCATAAGTCCCGCTGTCCGAAGGTCATGCTCTTGGCTGCTTGCGCAAAGCCAAGAGACGAGTACGGCTACGACGGACGTGTCGGGATTTGGAGCTTCACACTAGAGATTCTGGCCAAGAGGAGCGACATCAGAACTGGAACAATCATGGGAGAAACTCTCATCCTTGAAGACGTGACAGTGAACGCCGAAACGTATCGCCAGAAAATAATCTCCAAGGACGGCGTGTACGACGAGATGAGGAAGCGCATGTGGTGGTTTCACGCTGAAGCACGGTACAAGATCGTCGGCGGTGTACGAAAGCCATGCGGGGAGCTCGTGGCTGGAAAGTGGAAATTCCACAAGTCACGCGGCACTCGCTGCCCAGAAGCTGGCCAGGCCCTGTACCTACAGCATGACGGCGCGCGGCCACATACACAGCATGTGAACACGAAGCTGTTCCGCTCGCACGGCAAGATGAAAGGGTTCAGCATTTCAGTCGTCGTGCAACCAGCGCAGAGCCCCGACCTGAATGTTGACGACCTGGCTTTCTTTGCCTCTCTTCAATCAGACGTCTCCCTTGTCGCCAAGGAGAATCGCCGGGACCTCCTCGAAGCAGTTGTCAAGTGCTGGGAGGAGTATCCTGCCGAGAAAATGCGCAGCGTGTGGATGTGTCTGTACGGCTCGTTTCACGGGATCATGGAGTGCGCGGGTGGGAACGAATACAGTCGACACCGAGGCATACGGAGCTCCGAAGATGAAGACGATGTAGCCAAAGTCCAGCGTCGTTTCCTCACTGCAGCTGACAAGAAGCTGAAGGAAATGCAAGCGCGAGCAGCGGCTGTTGACGATGCGGAGTCAGCGTCATCAGGTGAAAGTGACACGAGCGACGAAGACGCTGGATGAACTCCATCTCATTCATCTGAGTTGCTTTTTTTATTTGTATATAGCTTGTACATAGGCGAGACAATGTCATGAGTGTTATTCCAACTCAAACTGAACGATTCCAGAGCTGTGCGGATTCTTCAAAAAAAGTCACGAAGTTTTTGTATACGGAGGAAGTACTGCATTACTGGGGAACTGTTTGTGCATTGGGGAGTCAGGGTTCAAGTCATTTGTGATTTGTGGTTCTATCCTTCGAACTGCTACGAGCCAGCATGGCTGCAGTTGACAAGTCTAAATATTTCCTACCAAGCCTAGGACCGGTTGTTTTCATCAAGGAGTATAGATGCCAGAGACAAATGGCTGCAAGGATTTGAAACAGTGTATTTCTTGGGAAACCCTGCCTAATAATGTGTATGCTGGGTTAGTTGATGTGGCATATCATGCTTTTTCTGTCATTTTCGTTTTTTTGTCAATGTAGAAACATAGTCAAAGAGTGGCCAGAACAACTGTTGATAGATATAGTATGCTCCGAGTAGAAACAGTTCAAGTACAAGATACACAACACTTACTATTGCAAGATGGTGTGGAAGACCACTCCGCACCGGGAAGACACGTGACCATTGAGTTACCGGAAAGCTCGAAGCCGGCATTACATGTGATGTTGCGAACACTGGTCACTGTGTTTGAGCTGCCTGCCAATACTGCGTTATTAACAGTGAGCGTGGGACATTCTGCCACTCCTGTAACACAGCAGAATAAGAAGAAACACCATCCACATTGCGAATAACGAACACGGACCAGGGCCAAGAAGGAAGTTGTCCTTTATGAGCATTCAAAGTGTGATCTGTTTGTTGAATCATGTTAGACATCTTCAGTGAAGTTTAAAGTTACTGGCCGACCTGTTTGCACTGAAGTCTAACGAAGGACAAGGCATTTAGGGCGGGGTTCCACTGCGGCTCCGCTGCTCCGCTGCTCGTCTTTCGAAGCTTTAAACGTCATCATTACCATAGTGACCGCGGCTCGAGCTGGAGCAGGGAGTCCGCGGCTCACCGCGAGCTTTTGCTACGATTCTTGACCAAAAACTGCGAGCCGCGGTCGCGGCTTGACCTGTTTCCCGTATTTTTCATTGTTTTGTACGCCAGAATTTTAAAATTCAAATTTTAATTCGTGGCGCAGGCCAGAACACGATGATTTTTTTGATTTCGCGCGCGCGCGCGCGCACGCGCAGGCAGGTGAAACTTCATCAAAAAGTGTGGAGCACGACCGCGGTACCGCGAATGGCGAGTGTCAGTGGAACCGCGCTGCTCCGCTGCATGCAGCCAAGTGCCGCTGAGCAGCGGAGCCGCAGTGGAACCCGGCCCTAAGACAGGCTCAAAGCGTCTCGTTCAGAATGCTTTAGCTCTGATAGACACTGCGAGTTTTTGACGAATGCAGACAACATTGACAGGAACTGGAAAGAGTGGTCAACCAAGCTGATTCGTAATACTCAAAGTATATGCGGTGTTGAGCATTGTCAGCACACTGGGTACATCCTCCGGTACCCAAAGCATTTCAACAATTAATTTGCTGTAGCCTAGTGCCGCACCACCAATAATGGCGAATGGCTTTCTACTTCCTGAAAAGCTACAGCAAGGAAATGGATGATCAAGAAGATGTGTTTCGCTATGTTGGAAACCAGCTTAGAGCCAAACAAATCTAATAATTATAAGCTTGGCTGTGTATGGGCTAAAGTATAATGTCTGCTGGTATATCCTGAATGTGCTTGAAGACACATGAGTTGCGGTTACATCTAGAACAGTTGAAAGTATATGAGTTGTTGGTACACCTGAGGGTCGCTATCCCACCCGCACGAAACTTGTAGTCACGAAGTACAAACATCTACCATGTTATAATTGCACGAACGGTTTGTTGCATCGCTGACAGTTTTCTGTCACGACATGCATACAATGTATGGACAAACAATGAACAGCAAACTTATGATACGCTGGCAGGTTGCTAGCGGGTTTTCACACAAGAAGTGGACCGTGACTTTAGCAAAGGATATTAGAAGTTCCAATGTAGATGGGCACGTTTCACAACGAGAAAATAGCAAACACTTACGATTGCACACAGGAGTTGAAGACCAAGCCACGGTGGGTAGACATATGACCATTGAGTTTCCCGAGAGGTCAAAGTTTGCATTACATGTGATGCTGCGGAGGCTGTTCACTGTATTGGAGCCCCCTGACACGATTCCGTTGCTAACAGTTAACAGTGGACATTGAAGCACTCCTGAAAGGCAAGAGACCAAGAGAATGTACGGTCTATCATAATGGATATGGGCCATTGATCGCACAAAACACATCGGTTTTAAGTTTATTCACAAGATTTCCAAAAATATTGTAACCACTCACAGACTCCATTGCAGCCACATACACATTGAAAAGGGTAGGTCAACTCCAAAATAGGGTCTCTGCTGCATATGTCTCTAAAAATAACATTTACTTGGTCCGACTTAAAAATGTGCGTTTCACTTTGAACGTCAACCAAACAAATTCAAATAATCTCAGGACGGATAAAACTTTCCAACTACCTAACAATATCCTTCAGTTGTCAATTTGTGATGTTGAAGAAGAAATGGCTCCAACTCCAACGGACGCAGCGGCTCAGGATCCTAGTCGACTCGAGCATTTTGCGACCAAATTTTGTCGTCAGAGGATTCCTGTTGCTTCTCGTGCAACACAGAGAAGGCCTGGTGCTGAAATCAACACCCCGCTGCGATGGGGGATTGTCACGGAGTACCAAAACCTCCTGGACGATCGTTCTCGAGTGCCTCCTGGCGGATGGAAATCGCTGCAATCGCTGTTTCCTAGGCAGAATTTCAGCAAACGCATCATCCAGAAGCTCGTGCAGAAAGCAGCAGCATCGCTCCGTCAGTTTGCTGATCTCTGTCGCAGTCGTTCACGATGTGGCGGCCGACGAATCAAGATCACAGAAGAGATCGTCGAGAAGTTGATCGGAATATATAACCGGCCTTGAGGTCGACTTTCAGGCGACAACCTGCCTGGAAAACTGAAGCGCAGAAAGGGGGAAT